AATTCTGTCATGCAACTATTTACATGAAAATATTCAAATGAATAGTCAACCTGAATGCTCTTTTGACATTTAATAAAAAGCCTATGAAATCTGTATTAACAAACATTAATTCACATTTCTCTGGACTAACTCTATGAGCCTTGAATGTTTAAGAGAATACTGTCAACATAATTTAGTGTTAATGATTGTCTTACAGAATCTTGCTGGGACACTTCTGGTTAGCAGCTTATACTGAATCCCTAACATGAAATAATCCAGTGCAGTCATTCTAAGGCTCTGTTCATGATGGAAATTTGCTAGCTTTAGGTTTGTTTGGGCAGAAAAGGGGTTAAGAACCACTGGTCTAATGGACTGGGTATTTAAAAACAAAAATATCTCTGGCTATCCCTATCAGTTGTCCTCAGTTAACATCCACTGATGACCTCTGAAACAGTATCATGAAGGGTCATTTAGTGTGGTCTTCAGTGGTGCTCAGACTATTGGTAACACTGTCAGAGATAGTTCACTATTCTAGACACTTGTCTGACCTATAAGGTATTTTAAAAATTTGATGCATAATGTACAAAATACACAGATCTTAAGTTTTCTGTTCGAGTTTTTAATACCTGAATACACCCATGTACCCACCATGCAAATCAAGCTATAGAGCGTTTCCATCAGTACTGAAAGCTTCCTTGTGTCTCCTTTCATTCTCCCATCATGTTAGATGTTGTCTGTTCTTATATTTAATATACATCGAATCATAAAGTATGTATTATTTTCTAACTAATAATGTTTTTGAGATTTACTTATTGCATTCATTAGTTCATTTCTAATTCAGTTTATCCATTCTGTTTCAGTTTTGGGCTATTATTAATAAAGCTCCTATCAACATTCCTGTACAAGCTTTTTTGTAAACATAGTATTTTCTTGGGGAAATGCCTAGGAGTGGAATTACTGAGTTGTATGGTATGTGAATGTTTAATAAGAAACTGCTGAATGGTTTCCCAAAGTGGTGGTTCCATTTTACACTTGGTCAGTATTTATGAGTGTTCCAGTGGCTTCACATTCTAGCCAGCATTTGTTGATGTTAGTCTTTTTTGGTCATCCTAGTGGATGTGAAATGGTATTTGGCTTTAATTTGTTCTTCCCAAAGGAGCTAAGATGAATACTGTTGCATAAATTTTAAATTTTGTTGTCTTTTTTCTCTCCTGGTTACTGCTTTCTTTGTCCTACTCAAGAAATGTTTACCTACTCCAAGGTCAAAGATATTCTGTTTTTTTCTACAAGCTTTTGTTTCTGAGTTTTAACATTTAGATCTATGACCTATCTCTATTTTTTTTGGTGTATTTGTATAGAAAATAAGGATCAAGACTCATTTTCTTTCACACAGATAAGCAGTTGTTCCACCAATATTGTTATAAAAACTTTCCTTTTCCCACTGAATTAACCTGGCACCTCAGTCAAAAATTGTATATGTGTAGGTCTGTTTCTGGACTCTTGATTCTGTTCCATTGATATATTAATCTATTCTTATCCTAATACCACAGTCTTGATTACTGTAGCTTTATAGTTAGTCTTGAAATCACATAGATTGAGTTTTCCAATTTGTTCTTCCTTTTCAAGATTGATTTGGCTATTTTAAGGCCTTTGCACTTTCACATTAATTTTAATATATTTTAATCAGTCTATTTTTTTAAAAGCCTGAGGGAATTGTGATAGGGATTGCGTAAATATAAATCCCAATTTAGGGAGAACAGACACCTTAACCCAAAATTGAGTTTTCTAATTCATGAACATGCTATGTCTCTCCTTTTATGTAGGTTTTCATTCTCAGCAAAGTTCTGTAGTGCTCAGTGCAGAAGTCTTGCAGTCTTCCTAGGTATTTGATGTTTTTTGTTGCTACTGACATGTTTTTAAAATTTAGGTTTCCAATTAATCAGATCGCTAGCATGCCCCCGGGGTTTTGATTTTTGTAAGATCTTGCTAAATTCATTTATTAGTTCTGGTTGACTTCTTTTTTTGTTTTGTAGAGTACGAAAGGTTTTCTATGTAAACAATCAGGTCATTTGTGAACAATGACGTCTTAATCTTGCGTTTCAATCTTTATGCCTTTTTCTTGACTTTATGGCTAGGACCTACGGAACAGTGTTGAACAGAAATGGTGAGAGCAGACATCCTTGCTTTACTATTTCACCATTAAGTATAAGTGTAGGTGTTTTTTTGCAGATGATCACTATCAGATTGAGAAATTTATATTCCTACTTTTTGTCTTGTGAGAGGGGGTGTTGAATTTTGTCCAATGCCTTTTCTGTAGTCATTGAGAGGATCACAGAGTTTGCCTCTTTTATTCTGTTTGTGAGGTGAATTATACTGATTAACTTTCTAATGTTAAACCAACCTTGCCTTCCCAGAATAAACCCTATTTGGTCATGATGTATTATTATTATCCTTTTTATACATTGCTGGGTTCAATTTGCTAATATTTTGAGGACTTTTATTTCTATGTTTATGAGGCATATTGGTCAGTTATTTTCTTTTCCTGTGGTATTTTTTCAAGTTTTGTATCACTTACGGTATTTATTAGGAGTCATCTATATAAATATTATTTTGTCACAGGTCTAAGAAATGCAAAAATCAATTGTTTAGAGGTGTTTTTTCATGGCCATTTGGGTTCCTAACAGCCATCATTAAAAATGTTTAAAGAAGTCATCTGATTCTGTAATAATTTCACATTGTTTATGTGAACAAAAAGCTGAAAAAATCCAGGGAAAGAATTGAGGTGTGAGATGAGTTGTTAAAGTTTTTTTCTTGCTAGTTGCGTTCCTCTCCTTCATTCCAACCATTTCACAGTGACAGGACAAAAAAAGAATTGTGCACTGATGATTAGGGTTAAGCTTCACAAATGTTTTTTGAATACGCTCAATTACAGTACAGTGATGTGTTGCATAAATAAGGTCTTGGTCAGTGACAAACCGCATATATGACAGTGGTCTCCTAAGATTAGTACCATTTAGGCTTGGTGTGTAGTAGCCTACACCATCTAGGTTTGTGTATGGACAGTCTATGATGTTCACACAACTACAAAATTGCATAGTGATGCATTTCTCAGAATGTATCCCCCTCATTAAGCAACACATGACTGTATGTTGGATAAAAATCTTGACATTCACTTGAGCAAGCATAATGAAATTTAGTTGAAAACCAGTGGAGTTTAAAATCAACTTGTCGTTTTGGAAGTAGTTCTAATATTTTCCATTCTACTAAAAGCAAGAGCAATCTCTCTGCCCAAGTTAAAAATGGAAGACATCCAACACACCTTTAATTAAAAATGCAAAATTCAGAAGGAAATCTCCAAATGTGTACTTTAATGGTAAAAAAATATAATTTCATATGCAATAAAGTATTGGCCATTTATTTAAAAAACAAAGCTGTGTGTGTGTATATATACAATTTTGTAAATAGAGAAAAGGTCTGAAAGGATAACATTAAAATGAAAACAGTTACCTCTGGGAACAATAATTGGGTAGGAATGCTAAATGCTTTTTAGCAAAGGCTTGAGTTTTCTAGATAAGATCCTATTCCTGTATAATTTGTGTACCTAAAAAAAACTCTTTATACCAGTGAATCATCAGTCTTCAATGAAGCAGAAATAACAAAGCAATTTGTTAAAATATATGAAGCTTCAAAACTAGAGGGGATAATGTCAGAGGCCACTTGCTCAAATCCTACAATATAACCGGCTTTTTCCTGATTATCTTTTGGGCAACAATTTGCAAAATATATATTTGGGGTTGCCCTCAAGTTATTTAACAGATTTAAGAAAAATTACTAGTAAACACTCACTTTGAAAATTTTTCTCAATTTCTTTCTGATTCAATTACCTTGCCTTAGACTTTCTTTCTTTCTTTTTTTGCTGTGTAAGATGTGCCAATTTTCCTCTATTTTTCAGTATGTGGGCTGCCAGCACAGCATGGCCACTAACAGAGTGGTGTAGGTCCCTGGCTGGGAACTGAAGCCAGGCCACCAAAGTGGAACACACTGAACTTAACCACTAGGCCACTGGGGAGACTTTCTTAATCATACAATCATTTTATCAGAAAATGAATCACATGTTCGAGTATTTAAAATATCTGTTTCCTGTCTAAGCTTACCACCAATGACAAAAATCAACAAAAAAGAGTACTACCTAAGAAGTAATGACTCAGTACACCAAAACATCATACCCAAAGTTAAAAGAAAAATGGCAAATGAGGGAAACTGTAACATAGGACAGGCAAACAACAATATCTTTAAAATATAAAGCTCTTACAAATTTATAAGAAAAAGATGAATGGATATTTCAAAAAGAATTACAAATGGCCAAAAAACAAGTATTCATTTCCCTTTATTATTTTTTTTTTGAGGAAGATTAGCCCTGAGCTAACATCTGCCACCAATCCTCCTCTTTTTGCTGAGGAAGACTGGCCCTGAGCTAACATCCATGCCCATCTTCCTCTACTTTGTATGTGGGATGCCCACCACAGCATGGCGTGCCAAGCAGTCCCATGTCCACACCCGGGATCTGAACCAGCGAACCCCGGGCCGCCGAAGCAGAACGTGCACACTTAACCGCTGTGCCACAGGGCCAGCCCCAAGTATTCATTTTCTAATAGCCAAAAAAAGTAAGATTTTTTTACCTATTAAATTTGCAATGAGTTTAAAAAAAAAAATACCTACTGCTGATGGGGATTCATCGGTACAATACACTGGTAGAGATTTCTGAAGGACAATCTCACAATCATTAGTTACCAAAAGCCTTAAAATGCCTCAATCAGTTCATACTTAACAAATAAATCATCCCAATTAAGATTTCCATTTTAACTTATTTGTAAATAGAGATAGTTAAAATGAAGAGAACTAAGAGATGGTTTCATGGATCAGGACAGAAGACTCACCCAAGCCAGAACAGCTACAGGCAAGGGTTCTCCGACTCCTCTGAAGTCAGAAAAGAAGTCCAAAGAATCAAAGGGAACACGTGAAACTCTTAGCACTCCCGTGAGCTTCATTCCTGCAAACACTGCAGTCAGCGGGGCAGCCTTTCATGAGAGCAGAAAGGGAAGGAAATGGAGGGCCGGAGTCCTGCCTTCTCTTGGCAAATCCTCCTCTCCATCACTGGGAATTAAGAAGAGGCACCAGCTTTTTGTTTTCCAAGCAAAGGCGCCTAGTGTGACTATATTAAAATTTCATTTTAGTACTTTCCTGTAAAGTTCACTCAAACTTCTTTAATGACTGATTTCAGATGGTCGAGGTGATACTCTTCTATGAAGGATTCTGCTTGATTCAGAGCTTTTATTTTCACCAGAATAAGAATTATTTCTTTGATTTCATCCCTGAAAAAGAAAACAAAAAGCATCTTCCTCCTTAAAAATGTAATGTATGAGAATACAGTGAATCATCAGATGTTAATCTGAAAAAAAACAACTTTATCTTAAGTCAATATCATTTTAAAATAGCATAAAATATTCAGACACTACCTTTTCCACATAAATTATAACGTTTAAATACAGACTATTTATTAGTGGATATATTCTAGCAAATTTTAATGTGAATGACTATAAAAAGCAGAAAAGCACAGAGCAAATCTACCATCAGAAATTTCAGTTGCGGTGTGCTGCTACCAGCTTTGTGGGCTATTACGGTGGGAGCCTCACTGGGAGTATTTACCCCAAATGCTACAAATCTGGGCTTTTAAAATTTTTTTTAAAGAGAAGTGGTTTACCAGTACACCACTGGTACTTAAGCCCCTACGTATCTAGTGCTGTGAATGAGACATTCAAACAGAGATCCAGCTACTGCTGGGTAAACACCAGGTCACAGACTCTACCTAACAAGTGCCGAGACCTCAAAATGGCCAGGAAAATTACAAACACATCAAAAACATGCTTACTAAGAGACTTCTGATTTACAGTTTTAATTCTAAATTCCCCTGTAATACAGTTTTCTGGAAGTGCTTATTTTAGAAGAGATTTACATTTAAAAATATGGACTAATATGCATGAGGTGTGAGTATAAAATAGTGAATGATTCCAAAGGTCGCACATGGAAATATCTACTAACTCTACAGTAATACAGGGTTTCAACAGATTTTTAAAAGAACAAGTATTTCTAAAAATTGCTGAGCATATAATAGAATCCTTGAACTATGCTTATGGAGATACAAATAAAACATGCATTACCTGAATTCACTTCTAGACAATTTATGTGCAGATTGCAATAAACACTGGATGAAGTTTTCTAGCTGGGGAAGAGATGTTCTCATAGCAGAATTTTCGAACCACTTTTCTGGTAAACATGCTGCTACCTGTTTGTTAAACAGAACACATGGTTGGTTTTTAATAATGACAGCTATCATGTAAGGAGTTTTGCGAACATAATCTCATTTAATCCTCACAGTGATCATGCAGGTTGCATATTAGTCTCCCATTTTATAGTTTACAGTTAAATAAAATTTGGGAATTGTCCCTTTCTTTGTCAAGGTTTATATACTTTTTAAAAAGTCAAGGGTTATATACTTTAAAAAAAATCATATTTTAATGGCAAAAACCTAAAATAGACTACTCTCTATGAATACTCTCCAGTGGTACTTGTAAGACTTTCTATACTCTGTATTCCTGAGCCAGTAAATCTATAAATGACGTGATTTACAACTAAACACCAGAAATGCTTAGATACAAAACACTTTTAGTCAACACAACTATAAAATATGTACATTTAGCATTATTTCACACTAAGAAACTGGGTGACCTATTGTATGATCGACATAAACAAACTGAAGTTAAGGAATCAAGTAGGTGATTCAATGATATACAGAATAAAAAAAATTAATTATGGTTTTGATCTTCTTCTAACTTAAATACACTGCTTTAAATATCCACGGCAGCAAAAACAGTCAATGTATGTGCATTCAACTTTTCTTTTGGAAAAAGAAAGCATTATGCTAAAGGTAATATATGATTTGGGGGAAAGTTTTGTAAAAACAGGAAAATGTTAACATAATAACAAAAGCAAAGAGAAACTTCCTTACAGTATAAAAAGGAGAGAAGAGGATGAAGGAAACATTTGCGATCATACTATTCAAAGAAATTGTTGGACTAACAGGTTATGATACAGTTCGTAAGATCAAGATCAGTACTTAGAGAAAGCAGAAAAGTTGGGGGAAAAATGGACCTCACATATGTTCTAAAAATGTTAGATGAAAGTTCTGGAATGCACTAAGCCTGATCAGTCAGCATTGAAAACATAGTTGAAGAAAAAGATTTATCCTATTCCTTAATCACCCTTTTCTATCACCCAGAAAAAATGCAGACACATTGACTGCCTACAGCAGAAAGTCCTACAAGTTTTGCTATGAAAATTGTATCTCTTTTTTTAAAGTCTTAAAGCCAGCCCTTAACTGGCTTGGAATTTAACATCATTTGTACTTGCTTTCTTCTTGTTTTGTGTCACAAGTCTCAATAAAATTCTCACAGAACCATCTAGCTCCTCCATAAATGATCCCAGGACTTAAAGCAGCCTTATCTTGGCTGGTTTTCCAGTCATCAGCTGTGGAGAGAACGTCAGGTGTCCTCCACTTCTGCACAGTAAACCCTTACGGTCAAAGGGGACTAAACTGACCCTGAAACACGTAACAGGGATCATGACTGAAGACTTTGGTAGATAATGGAGTTTAAAACTACATAATACAAAAACCATAGTCAGAAAAATCATGGTTGGCTAGAACTGCTAACATTTTATATACTGTTTTTTTTTTAAATTTATATTATAAAGTAAATATTTTCTCATATTCTTAAAAATTGTTCAACAAATAACTTTTATCTTTTGGATAAGTGGTCATGTTTTGGGACATTTATGTTGTTTCCAACTATCTTCTATTATAAATAACACTACAATAATATCCTTCATACTTATAATCTGTATGTGCATCTCTGATTTTTAACTTAGGGTAAATTCCTACAAGTAAAATTAAGTGAAAGGGTCTGAACGTTTAAGGTTTTGTATCCGTCATGCCAGAAGAGTGCCCAGCGTTGTGTGCCTCCTTCCACTAGAGCAGAGACTGTTTCGCAGGAGCCCCACCCCACACGTTCTAGGTGAGTGGTGACGCTGGAAGGGTGTGGGACTGTTTCTCTGTAATTATGACAATAATGGGAATTATAACGAAAATAACAACAGCAAAAAAATTTGCCAACACAACAGGCAAAATAATGTCCTTACTGTATCATTTGGATTTCTCTGATGATTAGCACTGTTAATCTTTTCCACATGTTTGGAGGTTATTTTTCCATATTCTTTTCTAGTGAATTACCTGTTGCATGTCTTTTGGCCATTTTTAATCAGAATATTTGAATTATTTATTGATTTGTAAAGAGCTTTTTTAAATGTGGATATTAGTCTTTGTTATAACTTTATTTCTCAGGTTTTCAACTCCCTTTCAATATTTTTAGAAACTCCCTTTCTCCCTTTTTATTATAGAAAATTTCAAACATACACAACATGAGAAAGAATAACTAGAGTGAGCCCAATGGACCCATCTTCCAGTTTGAATAACGATCAAATGATCACGATACCTTTTGTTTAATTTCTTTCATCCACTGAAGTTTTATATTTTTGTCAAATCTGTTACTTTTTCATCATTTCTTCTCCAGCTTTTAAGTTCAGAAAAGACTCCCTTACCATCAGATTCAGTCATCTATCTTAATATTTTATAGTTTTTCACTTCTTTACTTCACCTGAAATTTATACTGGTATTTAATGAGAAGTGAGGATCTAAACATTCTTTTTGTTAAGAGTTAACTAGCTGGCCCAGGATCATTATTAATTTTCCCTTTCCTTACTGGTGATATTTCAAATCAGCATACTAATTTTTTTAAATATTGAGGGGTTGCTTCTGGGTTTCTAGTCTATTAAACTGATTTGTTTGTTATTACGTATCACAATTTTAATTATTTTGCTACAAAATAGATTTTAATAACGGAATTTAAAAAAATGATGGCAATTAGAATCAGTCCCTACACAACTTACTTGGTTGCACTTTTTAACAACATCTGGCCCAGGTGTGGCATTAAGAAGAGCTATAATAAGGTAACGATTTAGCAGCTTCCCTAGTCCCAGCTCTTGCAAGGTGTCATCTGGGAGGAGTCCATTCCAAAGAAGAATATTACGGAAGAGCTAAAATAAAATAAAATATCAAGTGACTATGTACCTTCTCGCCAAAGGACAACAGTAATAGTCTCTAACAAACAAAAAATGTTGGTCAAACTCTTTTAAACTCTCACTACAATCACCACTGTTGGAAGTGTCAATTTTAGAATCAATAGAAAACATTTCTGAATAAATACTTGATTCTTTCCAACCTTCATATATTTGCTCATCCTATTTTCACATTTTTAGGATGGCCACCCCAAATCCATCTCAAATAACCTCACTAGAGTCTTTCCAGATCAGTAATCTTCCCCCTCAATCTATACCCTCCTAGAGCCTGGGGCCACTAAGTACAAGACCCCAGGATTCATAAAGCACTGCCATCAAAGCCAGTACCACTGTTACCAGTGTGTGACCTTGAGAAACAAATCAAACCTGAGAACCTCATTTCTCTAATATAGAAGATTAATAATAACCTGTGAGTTTGAAGATAACTTGGGTAAAAATATTCACTAGAAATTCTAATAAAATTAACACTGGTTGCCTTTCCCTCCTGTAAATCCAGATCTTCTGTGAATTTTATGGTGCTTCCACTTTCTTTCCAGTCCTATCTTACTCTCAGTGCTAAACTACATGCAGTTGTACTAAGATGCAATGCTCTTTCACACTCTCTCATTGTGGATGTTGTCCCCTCTTCCTGGAAAGCCTTTTCCCTGATTCAACCACATGACAAATATTGATTCGTCCTATTGAAACTATTCTTGCTGAGGTCACCTATGATGTTCTAATTGTCATATCTAATAAACGCTGTCAATCTTTCTCCTAATTCCTTTTGATGGCATTTAACACTTTGTCTTCATTCTTGAAAAGCCTTTGCTTACTTTCCTTGACGTCACTCTCTTGTGACCATTCTAATTTTCACAATTCATTCTAAGGCTTCTGTGAAGACTCCACTTTCTCTGCCCTCTTCTTCTGTTCTCAGCCTTCTCTCATGCTTCACCTAATCTCAGAGGTGGTCATTTGTGACCACGCTCCAAACACTGCCTACATGTGCTCACTCCCAAATCTCCAGCTCAGATCTGTGCCCGGCAATTCAGACTCATGTATCCAACTGCCTCCTAGACCTCTATTCCTATATTTGTCCCAGAGGTACCTTCAATTCAGCATCTCCAAAACAGATGCTATCTTCCTCCCAAACCTTTTCTTGTTCCTGTATTCCCTCCAATGCCCTCAGAGAATGTCATCATAAGCTAGCAGGCTACCAAAGTCAGAAAGTTGGTGAGCACCCTACATTCTTCACATGTAAATGAATTAATCAACAAGTCCTTTCAATAGTTCACACTAAACATCTTTTGAACTCATCGTCTCCTTACCATCCTATTGCCACTGATCTAGCAATGACTTCATCTTTCATCTCTTAGAGGAGGGCTTAGCCGACTATGGCTTGTGGGTTAAGTCCAGCTTGCTGCCTATTTTTGTAGAGCTGGTGAACTAAGAACGGTTTGTATATTTTTAAATGATTGAAAAAAAATATTTTGTGACATGCAAAAATATGACATTCAAATTCAGTGTTCATTAGTAAAATTTGATTGAAACATAGCCATGCTTATCTGCTGACATATTGTCTATGACTGTTTCTGCACCACAGTGGCAGAGCTGAATAATTCAACAGAGACTATACGGCCTACAAAGCCTAAAATATTTACTATCTGGTCCTTTACAGAAGTTTGCTGATCTCCACTCTGTAAGTTAACTGGATTTGAACGAAAACAATTTTATTGTTATTTTTGTATTTTTCTGCTTACCTTTATACCTGACCAGAACCGTCTTTCTTGGAACTTTGAATGTGGCGATGTTTTGTTTTCTACAGCGCTAATTTGAAACAAAAGAAAGAGAAAGGAGAAAATGCAAATGACAATGTTTCAGAACCAGAGTTTAAAAAACTTTTTTTTTTTTTAAAGATTGGCACCTGAGCTAACAACTGTTGCTAATCTTCTTTTTTTTTCCTGCTTTTTTTCTCCCCAAAGCCCCCCAGTACATAGTTGTATATTAGTTGTGGGTCCTTCTAGTTGTGGCATGTGGGATGCCACCTCAACATGGTCTAATGAGTGGTGCCATGTCTGCGCCCAGGATCCGAACCCTAGGCCGCTGAAATGGAGCACACGGACTTAACCACTTGGCCACAGGGCCAGCCCCAAAAAACTTTTTTTTTTTTTTCAAACCAACTGAACTAAGCCTTAATGGAGTATAAATAGAGGTGCTCTGATGACATCTCTCAAAATTATAAATGCATGCACACTTTGACCCAGCAACCCCATTTCTGAGAATGCCTTCTGGAGACATGCTTGAACATGTAGAGAATGATGTCTATAAAATTATTCACAACGCTGTTGGGACACTTACATGTCCATCAGTTACAGTACATCTATATGATAGCATACTATGCAGCTTAAAGAACGAGGAAACTACTATGTGGTGACAGGAGAAGATCTCAAAGATGTACTGAGTCAAAAAAGTAAGGTACGAGACAATGGTTACAACAGTTTACAGTATACTTCCTATATACTTTGAAAGAAGGAGAAAGTAAGATTACAGCATATATAAATATTTAATTCTAATTGTGTGAAGAAATTCTGGAAAGGTAAAAAAAAATTACTAACAGTAATTATTATTACACAGACAATATTGTATGTGAATAGAAGAAGGGCAAAAAGTGGGTGGATGGAGGTCAGGAGTGGGAGGGAATAAGACTTTTCATTTTAAATATAAATTCTTAAAAATATACACTCATACTTTTGAACCCTGTGAACATATTACTTATATAAAACATTACAAAAGAAACATTAACAGGGCAGAAATTTTACATGTAGACATCTCTTTGTGATTCAAATTAAGCAGCAAGCTTAGAAGTTCTTTCTGTCTCTTCACAAAGCTCCCCCATCCTGTGAGTACTCACTGGATAGCTTCAGCTCATGATCCATTACTATAACTGATGCCTTCTTAGCAAATGTAGGAACATGCATCAAATACTACTTGTTTCATAATTTAAAATAAATACAGAATTCACAGATGCAGTTTCTGGCCCCTCAGGGATGTTCCGGGCCTCATGCTGTGCTTTCTCTGTACCCTGCATTGTTCTGAGCACTGTCTTCATCTTTACAAAGTCCTGTGATGTAGGCCTTAATTTAATGCCCCATTTTACATACAAGGACATTGACACACAGAAAGGCCCAAGGCCAAATATGTAGTAATGGTGAATCTGGGCTCTAGAATCTGTGCTTTCAATCACTCTATGCCACTCGTCATGTCCTTAGGAATAGCATCAAACATGGCATGCAGAAGGTGACTGAGAAATATTTGTTGAAATCTCAATTTGCATCCTAATAGGTATATGTATATTTTGAAAACACTTAATATAGTTTCTTTTGCATTACATTCTTAAATCCGCATTACATGATTAGCTATTTCATACAATCTAGAAATTAACAGCTCTCACCTCTTTGGATATAGAGGAATAAAAACGTCATCTTCTATTGCGTTCTTCATTCTTGAAGCAATGGATTTAAGTAAATCCTATTATTTAAAAATTTAGAGGCATCAGTGATAGTCACAGGTAGAAATATATTTACCAAAAGAGGTAATTTTAACAGTATAGTGCAAATTTGTACACAGAGAATCAGGAGTTAAAATAGTTATCAATTAGGTACAAGAGAACTTTATTCATCCATGTTGTTGCATATGGCTGCAGTTGGTGCATTTTCATAGCTGTACAGAATTCTGTTGCATGAATGTTACTGATGAGATGTTTAGATGGTTTCCAGTTTGGGGGCTGTTACAAATAATGTTGCTATGCAAGTTCTTGGACATGTCTTTTAGTTAGCTTGGGCATAGATTTCTAATGGGTAAACACATAGGAATGGAATTGCTGGAATATAGTTCCTGTCTGTATGTTCAACTTTGTACAGAATTCCAAGTTGTTTTCTGAAGTAGTGGTAACCCATTTATATTCCCACCAGCAGTGCATGAGATATCCTGTTTCCCCACAGCCTTACTAAAATGTATTTTTTTTTTAAAGATTTTATTTTTTCCTTTTTCTCCCCAAAGCCCCCCGGTACATAGTTGTATATTTTCAGTTGTGGGTCCTTCTAGTTGTGGCATGTGGGATGCCACCTCAACATGGCTTGACGAGCCGTGCCATGTCTGTGCCCAGGATCCGAATGGGCGAAACCCTGGGCTGCTGAAGCAGAGCACACTAACTTAACCGCTCAGCCACGGGGCCGGCCCCATATTTTTTGTTTTTTAATGTTTGCAATTCTAGTGGGTATGTTATCATATTTTATTATGTTTTTATTTTTATTTTCCTGTTAAGTAATGTGATACACATCCTCATATTCTTATCTGCCATTTGGACATGTCCTTTTGCAAAGCATCTAATTAAGCTGCTTGTCCATGTACGTTTTTTTTTCTTTTTAAATTAGGTCCTATCTCTTATCGATTTCTAGAAGGCTTTTATCAACTCTAGCTACGGGTTCTCTGTTGGTTTGTCAATGCCCTTTGAAGCAGTAAATTTACTTTGGCAAATGCATTTTATTGCTTGTATATCAAAAATTGGAAACAATCAAAATATTCAATCAGAGGGACTTTTAAGGACATCATCTTATATCCACCCATTGCGTGAAATATTACTTAGCTTGAAGGTTATGAAGACTGTACCAATTTAAAGATTTAATGAGATAATATTAAGTGGAAGAAGTAAGATACAAATGTACATGTCCATTAGGATTATAACTTTGAAATAATAAGCTGGTTAAAAATATTGTACAATTGTACCAGTCCTTGTACTAGGATGAAAAGGGGAGTTAAATTTTTTTTCATGTATTACCAAAATTTCTATAAGATATTGTTCTCATTCTTAAAAAGAAATCTATTACACACTAGAATGAAAGTTATTTTTTAAGTCAGTGACAATGTGTGTAGCACAAATTAAGCTGCCATGTATCCTGTACTGACCAAATTACTCATAAAGTGGAATTCAACCAAATATATTTTTTCATAGAAAGTATATCTAACTGAAGTCGTTTCTCCTTCCACTTAAATATCTGTAACATACTCTTCAAGTGGCCACATATCAATATATAATTAACATTAAAAACAATCAAAAACTCGATTTTTACTCCACTTCTTAAAGATTTTGAATTCTTTAAAAATAAAGATCATTTTTCTAGGCAGTATGTCCACAAAGTAGTGTCTGAGCTTATGTAAATTACTGAGTTAGAGTTTGTGCTAGAAAAGATAGTTAATGCTTTGATTTTTTTCTCCTTTCATTTAAATGATTTTGAATGCCAGCTTTGACAAATACTTCCATGTTGTTTAAATTTTTTTTTTTTTTTTGCTGAGGAAGATTTGCCCTGAGCTAACATCTGTTGCCAGCATTCCTCTATTTTATGTATGGGTTGCCAGCACAGCATAGCCACCAATGAGTGCTGTAGGTCCACGCCCAGGAAATGAACCTGGGCTGCCAAAGCAGAGCATGTCGAACTTAACCTCTAGGCCACAGGCCCGGCCCCTAAATTTTTGTTTCTTAAAAATAGTTCCTAAAAAGTGCTATAAAGGATGTTGCTGAGTCAAATGACAGGGTGAAATATGGATGGTAGATTAAGTATTGTTAAATTTACTGAAACTGACAACTGTACTATGGTTATTTAACATACTATCCTTATTCTTAGCAAATATGCAACTTTACTCTCAAAATGTTCAGGAGAAAAAATCATGTGTATATATATAAAAATCATGTGTATATAAATAATAAAGCAAATGGGGCAAAATATTAATGATAGGTGAATTTGTGTAAAAGGCCTATGAGTATGCTATTTTTAATCATGAGACTTTTCTGTAAGTTTGACATTATTTCCAAATAAACTGTTTAAAACAAGAAAACCTAAATTCACACGTTTTTAAACTGAGCTCATTAACTTTTCCAGGTATTAAAATACATCTGGTGGAAAAAAAGTTCTCCCAACAATCAAGTTTTATCACATACACATGCCTCTGTATAAATATTTTAAAACAGTTTTGCAAAGGCACTGCTCTAGTTGGCAGTTTTTATGCTGCGCTGTCCATCCATAGAGACAATCCCGGGTGGCTCGGGGATGCTGAGGCCCTCAGGAAAGAATGAGGGCAGGTGCTCAGTGCAGCGAGAGCAGCATGCTTTTGTGTGTATTTGTCTATAAAGGCCATGTAACATTTCATTTAAATAAGGTTCTTTTGATTAAAAAAAAGGTCTGGAAACCACCAATCTATGTAAACACTCAAATGATCCCATTTTCCTACTTCCACTACATGGTCAACCAACCTACGCCTGAAAACATTTAGTGACAGGGAATCTCTACCTCCTGAGGCCGCCCATCACTGTGGGCAGCTTTTGACTATTAGATTTCAGCTAACAGCGAGGAACAAACTTCTCTCTCCTACACCTTCCACTCCTTGGTCCTAGGTTACTTCTTAGCATCATACAGAACAGATCTAATCTCCCTTCCGTATGACAATTCTTCAGATTTTAAGATTGATCTCTCTCTTTTCTACATCTTCTCTTTCCCATACCATCTTCAACACTCTCCATTTAATATACTTACACACAGAATTAAATGCAACATACCCAGGGAAGTCTTATCTGTGGGTAGAGCACATATAACATTTTTACTCAGAATAGCACACACCTAGTAGGATGAACTCCAATTAGTCTGTGCTCAAGTAACACTGGTGACTTACACTGGATTTACTGTCGATTTTTATCCCTCTTTGTTTTACCTATGCTACTTCAGAGCTGTGTCTCTCCCATCTTTTATTTATGCAGTTGAATTTCTGAATGCAAGGGTAGGACATATGTATATTCCTTTTACATTTTGTATTTTGAGAGTCAGTCCATTTTCTCAGTACCTCAAAATCCTTTTGGATTCTAATTCTACTATCCATAGGTCTATGACAGAATTCCTAGCTTTTTGCTATTGACAAATTTTATTAGCATGTATTTTACATCTTTATCCAGCAGGGCATAGCTGAGAAGATATCTAACACTAAAAGACTCCCCGTGGGTAGCTACATCCCTGTTGGTCAGTATTCTTCAGGTACACTCCACCAGCTTCTTGATATCTAACTGTACCACTGCTAAGCTTATCATTTGATCCATAGGAACAATCATAACATACTTAAACACATTATCTACTGTTCCTGTATGCTATCTTACTTATCAGTGAAAGTAACTGAGATAATATGGGACAATTTGCTTTGATAAACAATCATTTGTATTGGAACCCTACCAATGCAGATTACAGTAATCTCTCCTTTCTTTTTTTAAATGTTCATAATCCACCTCTGTAATAATCTGTTTTAGAACCAGAATCAAAACTATTCTTAGCAAGCGTTAGCTTACAGAATCATTAGCTTCTCACTTGGAAACCAGGACCCATGCTGTCTGACTCCTTCTTCTGGAACCTTTCTCATTCTCTTCAATTGCTTACGCATCACTGAAATAAGCACACTGATGTCACTGGGAAACTGTCTGAGTAACCTGGAACATTACGTAGTTGGTGATTCCCAACTACGAGTGATTCTGCCCATCCGAGGAGCCTTCTACAACGTCTGGAGATAGTTTTGGTTGTCAAGACTGTGGAGTGCTGCTGCCATCTAGTGGGCAGAGGCCAGGGAAGCTGCTAAGCATCCTACAATGCGCAGGCCAGCACCCACAACACAGAATTATCTGTTCCAAACGCAAGGAGTGCCAAAGTTGATAACTTGCGGTGTAGTCCCGGCTTCTACTAATAAAGCAAAGAACCCATTTTCAACATTTACAGTGGGAGGGCTTCCACAATAAAAATTACCAGCCTAACAACTTCATGAGAGAATCTCTAATACTGCTGAAAGACTTCAGTGCTTACAGAGTACCAGGCCTGTCACTCAGCACTCAATGATCTTTTACAAATGTCTCGGCCCTCTGGGCCCCAGTTGATTCATCTGTAAAATGCAATTAAGTCAACACATTTTACAAGGCTGTGAGGATCAAAGGAGATAATGTGAAAGTGTTTAATAAATGGTAAAGCACTACTTACATTTAGGTTATTACATAATCCTATATAGAGAGCAAATACAGGATTATATATGTGAAGCATCCCTGTAGCTCTTAGCTACTAATCTTGGTTCTATGCTCTGTAACAACACAGAATAAATCTACTCCTTCAAGTATAAACACTATCTCCACGCACATCTTCTTTCACATCTAGAGTGAAATATCTCTAATTCCTGCCGTGGTTTTCCTAACTTATCTGTGTCACTATCCTGTTAAAAGCAGGTGAACAATGCCTTTTCTCCATCAGTTCCTACATGTTCAAATCCTATACTTTCCTTAAGGTCCCAAGTCAAATGCCACCTCGGACATATTCTTTCACTGCAGAAAGTAACTTCTCCCTCCTGTCTCTCTCGAAATTTCCCTGCACTTGATCCAGGCTGCTCATGAGGAGGCACCGTGGTCAATGCGATCAACTCGGGCTTTAAAGTGAGATTAACCAAGGATTAATCCTAGTTAACTCAAGATATTACTGTGAACAAGTTTTTGAGAGTCGGCTTCTTCATCTGTAAAATGAAGCTATCACCCATTTTTTATAGGGCTGCTGGGACTAAGTGGGATGACACAGGGACAAGATCTACAGAGTGACTAACACACAGTAGGAATTAAATAAGTAAGTGTTCCTTGTCTTGCCCACTTCTCCTATTTTACATAATAATTTCATTTACAAATTAAAGGCAGAATTAAAGGCTGAAGGCAGAATCATGCCGGTAACCCTCTTCTCCCTCTTACTTCTCGCAGCTTCCCTCCCTCATGACAGCGATTCCGAGTGCTAACATTCTGAACATTGGTGTTCAGAGCATGAGAACGACGGGCCTCCTTGCTTCACAAGCACCTCAGTGATTCTACTCTGGGTGCTCGCTAGTCTGTCAACCTCTTTTAATTTCCTTAAACCTCCACACACCATTGGTTTACTTATTTAGCTGTATAAGTAGAGAACATTCTCATCAGCAACAGATGATAAAAAACAGAGTACCACAATAGAAGTGCGACTCAGCCTACTTTCAGAGTCTCCTAAGAATCCTCTTTACATCTTATGTTGAGTAAAACTCAATTCTACATCCCGCTAAGGTGAGAATCTATCCTACTGAAGTTTGAATCCTTAAACAGATTACTGCTCTTAACTTTGGCAGACTATAAATAACAAGTTAATATAAAGAATATTAGTCTAACTTTAAAATCACTGTTAACGCGAGGCCACAATACCACTAGATTTTTGCCAAAAGAACAAAGGTAATGCAGTTTTTTTCTTTTAGAAGGGATGAATTTGCACTAATGCATTTACGCCCGTTCATCTCTTCAGGGCCGATTCTCAAACCGGAAAGACGGCTGGGCCTTGAGAACACAAATCAGACCACTGAACAGAGACATGAGCTACTATGAATGAACGTAATAATCGGAGTCTTATTATATTTTGTGTATCCTTTAATTAATAATGATTACCATTCCTGTTAGAATATTCAGAATTACTAAGGTGTATTCTCTCATCTTATTATTACAAGGAGGAAAAATGGTCAGCTGTTGTTTCTGTAAATCAGAATATATTTTCCCCAAATAGTTTTCTGATAATTACTTCTTATGAATCTTTTGTAAACAAAGATTTATAATAAACTTAGACTGATTTATAAATAAATCAAGAAATTCATAATTCTAGAAATTATTACCTGTTTGCCTTTACTAACTTCATTTTCACAAGTGGAATGTTCTTCAAGTATCATTCTGCAGTGCGTTATTAAACTTGTTGTCTGTGAAGTCGACAAGGGATCCCAAATGAATTCGACGAAGGCTGAAACAAAAATTTCAGTGCGACACAATTTATTTACTAGATTGCTTTGCTTGTCATGTATAAACAACTGAGGTCTTCAGCACAGACCACTTCTCTCCTTAGGTGGTTCAAAGTCCATGCCAATCATTACCATTACGTATTTGCAAACATCCTCAATTTCCTTGTCGTTTTTGGGCTTGTTGAACCTGTCTGGTTAAGCCACAACCCTAGTTAAATCCGCCTTGTCACCAAGTCTGTGCCTGAAACCATGCAGCTAAAACGTGGCTGGAAAAAAATACACTTTAAATTCCTCGCCACGTAGCTCCAGGGAGCTTTCACTGCTGCCCAGCAATCATGGTCTGTTTCCCTGGCCCCTCCCTCTCTCTCTCCCCCACATGATTGCTTCCTGGTTTCCCCTTCCTCCTCGCTCCCTCAGTTACTGGACTTTACTCTTCTAGATGACTACTTCTCACCTGTTCTTTTCTCCTCCCTTGCGCTCACTGTCAGTTGATTCCTTCCTAATTTGATGAGGAAATAGAATAATCAGAGAAGCAGCTCCACAAGCTTCTACACACCGACCTGCCTCCACACCCACATATTCTAACCTGTCTCCCTCTCCTATGGACAAAGCACCCACGCTCCGCGCTAGGGCCAACTCTTCAATTGTGCAAAAGATCCCAGCCCCTCTGGCTTACTTGACGATCCTCTCGTGGAACTCCGCCCTCTCACTTCAGTATCATCACCTCTACTGGATCTTTCCCATCAGCCTACAGATAATTATTTCTCTTGTATTAAAAATAATCCCTCTCTTGACCCTACCTTCTCTCCCAGTAGTGCCCTATTTCTTTCCTTCATTTTACAATAATATTCTTCAAAAAACTGTCTTATCTCCAATTTCTCCTCCCATTTACTTTTGAGTTCACTTCAATTAGGTCTTATCTCCAACCATTTTACCTAAACTACTCTTATCAAGTCACAGATGACCTTCACGTTGCACAATCTAATGCCTGATTCTAGTCCCCATCTGATTTATCAGCAACGACTACAACAGCTGATCATTCCCCCTAGAAATGCTTTCTTTCCTTGGCCTCTAGAACACCACTCCTGGTTCTGACCTACCTCTGGGGTCTCCTCTGCTGGCTGCTTGTCATGTCTTTGACTTCTAAATGCTCGAGTACCCCGGGACTCAGATCACTTGCCTTCTCTTTCCTCTCTCTATACTTACACCCTTAGTATTTAAAGTCAGTTTTGTGGCTTTAAATGCCATCTATAGGATGATAAATTCCAAATTTATATCTCCTACCTGGACCTCTCTTTTTAGACTCATATAGTTAGCAGCCTGGCTGACATCTCCACTTTGATAACAGGCATCTCAAACCCAACGTGTGTCAAACAGAGCTCCTGATACACGTGCCCACCCTAAACTTGCCCCCTCAGTCTTTTCAACTTCAGGAAATGGCAACTCTGTCCTTCCAGTTGCTCAGGCCAAAAACCACAGAGTCGTTCTTGATTCCTCTTTCTCCACAACCAATCCATTAGCAAATTCTGTTAGTGCTACCTGTGAAATACACACAGAATCCAGCCACTGCTCAGCACCTCCACTTCTAACACCCTAGCTCAAGCCACCATCATCTGCTGCTTGGATTATTGCAAAGCTTCCTAACTGGTCTGCCTACAGTTCATTCTCAACACGGACTTACAGAGTGATTTTGTTAAAATGTTAAGCAGATCATGTCACCTTTCTGCTCAAAACTCTCCAATTGTTTCTTTCTCTTTCACTTAAAGTGAAAGATCAAGTCCTTACAGATGATTACAAGGCCCCATATGATGCAGCCCCTGTCATCTTGCTAACCTTTTTTTACTTTCCCTCTTGCTCATTCCACTATAGCTACATTGACCTATGTGCTGTTTTTCGAGCAAATCAGGCTGGCTTCTGCCTCAGGTCCTTTGCACTTGCTGTTTCTGCTGCCTTGCATGCTGTTCCCCCAGATATTCATATGGCCCACTTCTTTACTTCCTTTGGAATCTGCTCAATTGTGACCTTCTCAGGAAGGCCTTTCCTTGCCAATCTATTTTAAATTACACTCTTCTTTGATAATTTGTTACCCTTTTCTTTATTTTTTTCCTTTACCCTCATAACTAATATGCTCTAGATTTCATTTATCTTGTTTATCATCTATCTTCTTCACAGAATGTAAGCTCCATGAGGGCAGAGATTATAAAGATTATAAACTCATTCACTGCTCTATACACTGAAGCAACAACAGTGCCTGACACAGAGTAGACCCTTGTAGAATATAAGTTAAATAATGGAAAAAATTGAGTAGGTTTAAAAAAAAAACCTCAAGCCAAAAACAAAACAGCGATTTCTCAAGCATTTAGAAGGTTAGGCTTCTAATAACCTCAGAAATATTCAGTCAACCAATAGTGAAAGCCTACTATGTGCCTGGTATTAAATAGACACAGCAATAAATAAGGTGAGGTGCCTGCCTTTGAACAACTGTGTCTAATGGCAAATACAAACGCTTATATAAGCAATTACAATTCAGTGTGTAGGTGCCACCATGAGTGAGCTCAGTGTTACACGAGCCTAGAGAGGTATGCCTAAACCAGTTTCTAGAAGTGATGTCTACACCGAGTCCCGAAAGATGAAGAGGAGTTAGTTAGCCAGATGGAGGAGGTGGGGCTGGGAGGTTTGTCAAACGGATGGAGCGCAGAAGCTGTAAATGCCTCGGAGGGTACAGCTGAAGGGCAGGAGAGAAAGGAGGAGGGGAAGGAGTAGAGCTCGGCCAGAGAAGGGGCTGGAGCATTACTAAACACAGCCCTGATTCTGGAAGGCCGAGAAAGCCATGTGAAAGTTTAGACTTCATCCTGAAGGCAGTTAAGAATAATTAAAATTGTTTTACATAAGGTATGACACCTTCAGAGCCACATTTAGACAGCTAACTATGGCTATAGTATAGAAAACGTATTAGAAAAAGGAAAAAAAATAACAGAGCTGTCAACTGCTTATATGAGGAGGTAAAAAAGAGGGAAGAATAAGTGATTTGAAGGTTCTCGTTTGAATACATGGTAGATGGAGGTGCCATTTTCTCGACAAGGAAGGTAAGAGGAACAGGTCTGCAGCAAAGACGACAAGTACAGTTCTGCATGTGGAGTTTGAGTTGCCTGTTAGACATCCAAGTGGATGTCCTCAGAAGGCACTCTGATAGAGAGATCTGGGGCTCTAAGAAGAGACCTGGACTTCTTCCAGTTGGTCTGGATTTAAAATTATGTAGAGTAGCACTGTCCAAAAGAATGTTCTGTGATGATGGAAAAAACATCTTACATCTGCACTATCTAGTATGATAGCCATGAGCTACCTATGGCTACTAAGCATTTAAAATGTGGCTTGTGTGACTCAGGAACTGAATTTTAATTTTACTCAGACGAAATTTATATTTTAGTAGCCACATATAGTTAGTGGTTACCACACAGAACAACACACATATAGATGGCATGGATATAGATACAAGAGAAGTATTTTGAGTTTTCAGAAGCTTAAATGAGGCACGCATCTTCTATGATATCATTAACAGAGCCAGTTAAAAGCAGTAACTTTCTAATACGCCCCATGATTGCACTGCAAGTTACACTGAGAAAATCTTTCAAGTTTAGCCAAGTTGGCCGAGAAGCAATACAAAGCTGGTTGCTTCACCTTTACAGAGTTCTGCAGAGTTTGCTGTCAGAACCCATTCTCAGTGACATGCTGAAACGGATCCCCATCTAGTACAATTCTGGGTAAAACAAGGGTCTTCAGACTGAAGCACAAGCCTCAATGCAAAGTGCTCTGCCTGCCAGTGGCAGACAGGAGGGAAATGTAGAAATGTTTCATGAAGAAAGAATAAATAAAAAGAAACATAAGGGGAGAAGTTAAGGGAAGGAAAGAAAGACATGTCATAGAGATGGAAGTGTCCCATTAATAAATGACTCAGGTGTAATAAAAGCGACTCTAAAGGCCAAAGAGCGTCAGCAGTTTGGCTGCCAAGCATTTGCATGGATGAGCATTTTTTTAAAGAGCTTAAATTATGATAACTATTGATTTCTATTGCATGTTACATTTACTGTGTTCAAAACTTCTGAAAAGAAAATGTGACTGTAACAGAAATTAATGATCTTACACCGTGACAAAGAACAACTGAATTTTACCCAGACTACAGAGCAGCACCTGTGAGTCGAGGAATCACTGTTTTGTTGATGACAGCAGACAGTATTTTTTTATCAGAACTCTCTTCCTTCTTTGAATCTTCCATACTGCTATCCACAAATTCTTCTATAGACGTGAACCACGGCATCTGTTTTAAACCTATGGAATCAAACTTATAAATAAAATTATCAAAGTTATAAATAAATCCTTAAACATTAGTTTGCTTTAAAATAGTTAACTTGTTCAGTAATCACCAGAGCTTTTCTAAGGATCAAAGGAGAATAATTCCATAATTTAACCCCATGCATACAGCGCTGGACTATCAAGGCTAGGCAGGAAGATATGACTAAGACATGATGTCTAAGCAACGTGACAAGAAACTGCACTTCACGCATTCATTCGTATGACAAATACTCTAAAATGCCTACTGTGTATTCAGAGGCAATCACATGGCAAGTACTGTTAGGAGCAAAATATGCATTTTCTCTAAGAATAGCACTTAAAATAGACATGGAATTTGTTTATAAAAATTCATTTGCCTCATGCAAAATTCGCTTCTGGCTCTCTCAATTCTCATGGGCAGAAATGTGTTATTTTGCATGTGGTCTAGTTTACCAGGCAAAGAGCCGATGGGCAATTATTATTAGTTGAATGAATGAATGAACAGATCTCTGCTGGTGTAACAGAGCACTCAATGCTGCTTGAGAGGTTAATAACTAGGCTGCTGTCCAACAAGTACCTACCACTTTCTTAGGGATAAGCTTGGTTCCGGTACCGTGAAGACTGGCCTGAACCTAACACAGAGCCAACAGGCATGCCTGACTAGGGCAGAGAAAGATAAAGGAACATGGTTCCATCCTTCCCTTTGTTAAATCTTTACCTTCAGCTCTCCTCTCTTCCTAGAACTTCATTGCTCATTTCTATTAGCTTACTAGAAATATCCACATGGATGTCCCACTCTCATTTCATTATCTACAAAGTGAAACTTCCCTCAAAACCTTTTCTCTCTCTGAAAATCTCCACTTCTATTAATGGAACTACCATTGTTCTAAGAACCCAGAATCCAAATCTTGCGGTCATCTCTGGATGTGATGTGTTAGAGTTATTCTCACCATTTTACTGATTCTTACTTCCTAACACCTCTTGTAATCAACACTTTCTTTCTCTTCCCTTTGGCACTATCATCCTGCAAGAGGAATTCATCACCTAGGACTCAGGCTACAGCAACAGCCTTCCAATATATATCTTCACCTCTTATCTCCCTTCCCTCCAAGTTAGCCTACTGCTGGGGCTTCCTAAAGCAGTACTTCCACCATGCCACGCCTCCCATTATTTACCAAACCAAGTTCCTATCTCTTAATTTAGTATCTGAACATCTGTGCAGTCTCTAGCTCTTGAACTAGTATTTCTCTCTAAGCACCTTTACGAAATACCTTTCCCTTTCTTTCTCCTCCTGTTTAAATCCTATAAACTTTTCAAATCCTCAAATTCTTCCTCCTCAATGCAGCTTTCCTAACCAACGCTTCCCAATATGTCATCTCCAACTTCAGAACTCTTGGTACCTATGTTGAATTTCTCCAAACAGACTGTAAAATTCTTAAGGTCTAATACTACCTTTAATTTTTTGAGTGATCTTAAACTTACCATAGAAGAAGCTAAAAAACATGTGTTTCCTTTACTGATGTTTAATGCTACTCAGCCTTAAAAATAAAGTGAGAACCAAGAAAAGAAAAATGTAGATGATTACTCCAAAGCACTATCTATCAACTCCAAGTCTCAAGGTGAGGTATTTTATAGCTAACCTGATAACAAGGGAATTTAACCAACTAATGTAATCAAGATTACTTTTTGCACATCTTAAGCTTAAATACCTTAAGAGGATTCCAATCAATCAACTGAACTCGTATTAGGGGATTTAAAAGCTTCGGTATGCATAAACTAATGAAGGCTTCATAGTAAGAATCAGGAAACTTTTCTCGCCATTGTTGAAATTTCAATAAAACATTCTGGATATTACAAAAATCATCATGCACATCTTCAAAAATCTTCTTATGATCCTGTAAAATGTCACCTGTGAACAAAACAAGTCTCTGTATATTATGCCGTTTAAGTTTGTGACCTTTATGTTTGCTTCCTATAAACACAATCATGTATGACTATGTAATCAATTGAAGTGAACTTTCCTCTGACATTAACATATAAATTATCTTTTATTAAAAACTCACTTTAGTAATAATAGTAACATTGACACTAATAAAATCTACCACCTGCTATATCCCAAAACATTGTAAATACACTGTCTCACTAGATCATCATAACCATCTCCCCTAAGAGGTAGGTGTTATTAGCTTACCTATTTACAGACAAAAACAAGCAAACAAACATCATCGTCATCAGATTAAGGGAGGTCAGGGAACCCGCCCAAGATCACGCAGCATAAAGGCCCTCTTTGAACCCATCTATTTGACTGTAAAGCTCATACTCTTTCAACTGTACATATTTACCTTCTCATAATGCTAAAAACAGCTTCACTAAATTCAATTGTTTTAAATTAAAAATGAGAATACAGAAAGTAAGTAGTAGAGAAATCAAACCAAAAATGTTCATGGTTCCTTTATAAGAGGAGATGAGAAAGCTGAGGGAAAAAACTAGAAAGATGCAGGAATACTCACACTCCTTCTCCATTTTATCCCATTTTTTCAGAAGTAGGAAAAGTCTTAAAGGGAAAAGAAATATGTTCCTTTTTTCCTGACTATAACTATTTTATATAGCTTATGTATTTAAGGACAGTCCTAGCACAGCATTTCGCACCACTTCAATACTTCAAACTAAGACACGTTAGAGACTCGGTAATTTACCGTGGCGTTTTTGGAAGTCAGTCATGTCTGCTGAAGACAGTTCATCATCACTAGATGCCCCTTCCTGATGGTCACAATTCCCAGAAAGCGCCCTTGCTTGCCTTCTTTGTGCCCTACACTTTGCAATAAACCAAAAATAAATTAAAAACAGATAGCTCCTGCTGAACATGCTTTAAAACAAAAAGAAGTCATCATTTACTTAAAATGCCCAGATATACACCATCATAATAGAACACAATTTTATCTTAAGATTTTTGACATTTTAGCTTCACTAGTCTAAATTGGGGGTTCTCCCTCTTTTTTCTTCTAAGATATTACCATTTAGGACATTCCCACAGGGTACCCAGATTTTGAAGACGTGGATAACAATATAATCAGGACTGGCTTCTAGTTACGAGCAATTTCCAGCCTGATGAATGTCATTTTACCCATTCCTTTTGAATGATCCAAATACACTAGTGTGTCCTTAAGCCCTGGGGTCAAGGACTGCTTAACGAAATTTTGGCTTTTCATCATTCTCACAAATTAATAAGTTAGGTTACAGTGAATTGTACCGTACAATTAACAACATTTAAATAGTGAAAAATACTCATTCAATGACGCTTTGAGTCTTCACGTTATACAGCTACCTTCGAGATTCAATCTCTGCTAAAATCCATTGAGTTTTTTCATCTGCAGGCAAGCTTCCATTTGTTGATGCCTCAGCTTTGCCTGTTAATGAAGAAAATTGATTTCATACTGCAAATTCTCAAAAGAAATAAAGTCATACACTTTGAAAACAAGTTTTATCTTGGGTGCGCAGACACATATGTAAATAAAAACATACATATACGATATGCTTAAATTACATATTTTATCATGCAATGAAATTGCAATGTTAAGTCCCTATCACAGTATTTATTTATTTTTAATTTTTTTTGAGGAAGATTATCCCCGAGCTAACATCTGCTGCCAATCTTCCTCTTTTTGCTGAGGAAGACTGGCCCTGAGCTAACATCCGTGCCCATCTTCCTCTATTTTTATGTGGGACGCCTACCACAACATGGCTTGCCAAGCGGTGCCATGTCCCCACCTGGGATCCAAACCGGTGAAGCCCAGGCCATCGAAGTGGAATGTGTGCACTTAACTGCTGTGCCACCAGGCCGGCCCTCCAATCACAGTATTAACAGGCACTGAGTTTGCTATCCTAAGAAATTGTACCTTGGCTGATAGTTTTTTCTTTTGTTGAGAATTTTGAGAACAAAATTCTACTATAAAATTTCTTTCCCTCACGTTCCTTTTCAGTTTTCACCAATTTTTTCTGTCCCTGTAGCCAAATGCTGAAATATTTGCATTGCCAATGTTATTTATATTACTTCCTATTTTAGTATGTACAGTAATTTATGACCAACTAAATGTCATGTGTTTGAAAGTCACTTTGCTCTTGGTTTTATTGGCTACTTGGTTATGATCTCATCTGCTTCACTATCACCTGACTGCACTTTAATCAAAGGAAGACATCTCTGAAAATATGGAACCAATGTGAGAACCAAAAGCTGGCATCCAAATCTTCCATAACGAGATCGTACAGATGATTCTATACTGAAACACACCAGAATTTCTTTAACCCCCATAACCAGTCTGTGGAAGGGTCACAGAAGCTTTATAAAGTTAGATCCCTGATACAACCTACAGATTTCAACCCATCTCAAAATAATCATTAAATGGCCATACAAATATTTTGTCTCAAATACTAAATGATTATAAGTTACAATTCTTATTTTTCAGTCTTAGATTTAAGATATTTTAAAGTCCAAGGTCTAAATGTTTTGGGGTTTTTGGAATGGAGTGGGTGAAAGGTTAGTGAGAAAATACACAAAAAGCGCGTTTTTGTACAGGATTAAAAATGTTTCTATTCTCCAGCTGATAATTTAGCTTAATAAATAATAAATCATATTGAACATGAAAAACACTAACGTGATAGCTCTTGTAAATATGTTGATTCATGTTTTAATTCATCTTGCCTGCGTTTCATAAAGGTCATGGCTTGTTTTAAAAGGAGTGCATGCATGGATGATTCTATTTCTTGGATGCTGATAATCTGAAATACATATATAAGTAACATTTGGGGGGTCATCAATAATGAATTATAAAAAGTAGTACTTATATATAAGCATAGGTATATGCTCAATTCTCATATAAAGAAACATTTTCAACCCTATCACATCTCAATTAAAAAAACATTGTGAGAAACAGACCTAGCTGCCAATACTTTTAATGTTAATAAAACCAGAAAATCAATTTACTGTACCAGAACAGCTACAAATATCATAAACAATGAAACCAAATGGGCTGGAGTCAGGAACATCGATAAGAATGAATAGAGAGGAAGAAAGATTCTTTTTTGAGATAGAAGAGCAGGAGGAAATGACGGGTGCAGCTATTTTTCACAGGCTGAGGGGGCAGACTGTAGGAGGGCACTTGAGGAAACCGGTAAAATTTGAAAAAGTGGAGAATGGAAGAGCCCTAACCAGACACGAAGAAAGTTACGAAGCAGGAATGAGTGAGGAGTTGAAATTGGCATTCTCACATTTCCTGGGCAACAATCTCCCCCCAACTCCAATGATGTTTCATAGCTATTGCTGTGGATACATCCATGTGTAGGCTGACAAGACTTAATTCTTCGAGGATAATGAAGAAAGAAAATTACACTGTAATAAATACTTTAGAAAGTAACTATTAAGTTACAAGTGATATTAAAAGGCAGTCTAAACAATACGGGAGAAAGCATTCAATTGTTTGGTAACATTTCAATGTAAATGAAAAGTAAGTGGAAAGTAGAGTATATTTTTAAAATAGTTTACTTTAAAATATCAAGACCCTAATGTAAAGACTTACTCTGTGTAAAATAAAAACACACTATAAAGGGAAAGAATGATTCATAAATCTGATTAACACGAAAACTTCAAAACATCTGGATGTCAAAAAAGCATTATAAACAAAATCAAAAGAGAAAACAAACTGGAAAATTTATCTACATCAAGTAGAATAAAGCATTAAAAATTTTCAGCAGTAAAGAACTGTTCAATACATAATAAAAAAAAAAAAGAAAAAAATCTCCACTATGAACCAAAAAGATAACAAGGAAAAGGAGACAAATAATTCACAAGAAAAACTATGTATGGTTAATAAAACAAAGAGACTGACATCAAAATAAACATATAAAAACAAAAACCATTTTCTTAATGTAGTAAACTAAAAATAAAATGGATACAATCTTTCTGGAGGATAATTTAGCAATGTTTCATAAGCCTTAAAAATAGACCCTTTGACTTAATAATTCACTCTCTAGGAATTTTTCCTAAACAGATGGAATTTTAACACAAAAATTTATAAACAAAATTTTATAATGTTATTTATAATGGCAAAATAATTGCAAAAAAACCTAACTGTCCAACATTAAGAGAATGCTTAATATCACAGTATGTAAAAAATGTGTAGGAAAAACACTACAGTATTTAGTTGTGAGACTTATTTTTTTAACTGCACAAGAGGATTTCTCTATAAAAAGGAAATGATATAAATATTTACAGCCATGTACCTTTTCATTAAGACAGTCAATTAGATTTTCCACATAAGTTTTCATACTTTTATAGAATTTAAAATTTAGAGCCTGATTTGATGAATTCTCTAGGTTCTGGATGGCACTCTTTGAGCTCTTGACATCTTGTATATATTTTTCATATTCCCTCAGGTGTGAGCGGTGAGTATCCTGGAGTAATGTTAATCTAAATAAATAAAATAAAAGTTAAAAAAAAACTGCTTTATTTTTCAAACTTTCATTTCTACTATAGTAAGTAGCCGTCTAATGACAAATTTTCAAAGCTACCTTACAGAGACCACCAAGGAAACTGACAATCATATGAACCCGGGTTTATGAGACTCGCTGAGCAGAGGAGAGCACCACAGTGGAAGAGGTCTCAAACGGAAAGGTAGGAAGGGACACTCGGAGAGTTTCAGGTGCTTGAGCTAATCACAGTGTAGGTTTAGAGGCAGTTAGTAGGTGTGCATTGAGCACAATTTGTAAACTAAACAACCAAGGGTCTTATATTTGAAACACAGGAGTCCATGTGGAGTTTACTGTTAGAGCAGTTTGTGGTCTTGGAATACAGGGATCTGAAGGAGCTGGTATTAAAACCATTTGAGCATGCTATGATTTGGTGTAATTGATCTGTTTTGTGACTCACAATGGTTTGTTTTATTTGTCATTAGAATCTGATAGTCCTTGAGGCACATTTCCTCTGTTGCTGCTGTAGCCCCTATATCCAGCTCCACTGATGTTGAGACAGCCCACTTTCTTTCAGCTCTTGTGAGTATCATATGTATCAACTGATGTAACATGAAAAAAACTGTCAAATATAATTCAATGTCTGCTTATCTTTTAAAATTCAGTTATCCCTCATATACACATAGCCAACAGAAGAGTAACAAACATTTTCTATAAAAATATCTGAAATGTGTTTTCCAATAGTATTTGACACTGTGAGCACACCAGAATTAGAGAATTAGCTACAAATGCAATAATAAGTTCGGATGGACTTGAATCAAACATTTATTTTTATTCAACTCCTCCTGCTAATTTGCTCCATAATGGAAGCTCTTTAGCAAGCCCGGGCTTAGGCCAAATGACCAATGGCCAAGTTTCCCTGGAACATTTGTCTTCCAAATTCTTTCCTTGCTTTATGTAAAGAACAGAGACAGTTAAGAAATAAACCAAGATACTACTGTACAGCAAACAATATTAATAAAATGCTTTAAGTAGAATATAATCAGTTATAGCAGTAAACTCCTAAGTACAGATTATGAGAAAAAAGCAAGGTACAGAACAGGGTACACAGTGTGCTTCATTTTTGTATAAAAAATGTGTGTGCTTGTATAGAGATATATATAGATTACTTCTGGGAAGAAACATAGGAAACTGTAGCAATGGTATCCTCTGGGGAAAGTGACTTCCCTTTGTCTCTTTATATCCCTTTGTACTTTTTGTTTTTCACATCATGAGAATATAGTTTCTTTTTAAAATAAAGAGAACCCAGTTAATAAAAATAAAATACACTAAAGTTAAAAATAACATCTATCTAGATAAAGCAAAACGCTAATTTTTTTTTAAACATTGGCACATGAGCTAACATCTGTTGCCAATCTTTTTATTTATTTATTTCTTCTTCTTCTCCCCAGAGCCCCCCAGTACGTAGTTGCATATTCTAGTTGCAGGTCCTGGTTGTGCTATGTGGGACGCCGTCTCAGCATGGCCTGATTAGTGGTGCCTGCGGCAAGGATATGAACTGTGAAACCCTGGGACGCCAAAGCGGAGCTGTGAACTTAACCACTTGGCCAGGAGGGCAGCCCATAAAATGCTAATTTTTATCAGTGGTTTGCCACCTTTTTTCTACTCTATTACCCATGTAAGACAACTCTCTCAAACACAATGTCCAAAAACAAAGTTCTGAGTTATATGCAATAGCTACAATTCTAGCTCTTTTCTTCCAACTAACGAAGGAATTTCAGAAGGATCGTAAATGATAGCGAAGGTTTTACAAAAATAATCTTGAATCGAGACAGTCTTATTTAACATCACTCCTGAAAACAACGATATAGTACAGAGATTGACAAACTTTTTCTGTAAAGATAGTGAATAAGGCTTTGCAGGCTAGATAGTTCCTGTTGCAACTGCTCAACTCTGTGTTGTAGCATGAAAGCAGCCTTAGACAACACACAAGCATGGCTGTGTTCCAATAAAACCTTATTTATAAAACAGGCAGTGGGCTGGTAATCTGTCAACCCACCAGGAGACAGAAATAACCTAACATCTAAAAACTGATACATCTAAAGATTTTCATATATCTATTTCACTATAAAATACTACACAATGTCTTTTCTGTGTTAAACCATTTAAATTTAACAACTATGACCAACATATTTTAGCTGCAGTGTGATTAAGGAACGAAGCTACTTTAAAGCTGATTGATACAAAAGATCCAAAGGAAGAAAATTTTGAACCTATTCTCAGGTATTAGAAAAAAATTCTCAGGTATTTAAAAAAAAAAAAGCAACGAAAGCGTTCTTTAAAAATACTTGCTTTAGCAGGAGGAGCAAGCTCTCTCCTTTTCTCCAATGTTATAAGAACTAATTAGACTTTTACTGTCACACTTCTTCTTTCATACATCTAAAGATGCACACCAGATCCTGAGTAGTAAAACAGGAAATATAAATACTTAAAGCAAAAGAATGTGTCATGGGGTTTGCCTTATTTGTAGCAAAAAATACCACTTATATGGAGATTAACACTATCTATTTAAGAGATGAGTATTAATAGCAATGGAATAGCAGTAGAATAAAGGTCATCTGTGCTTCAGAAAGACAATCTGTATTAAGAGTCATAAAAATATGCGTAACTTTTGCCAAAGTCAACTTTCCCTGGAAATTTATTTTAAGAAATAATCTAATAGATTAAATGACCCACAGGAACAAAATGTTCATTATCTGTAAGAGAGAAAATTTAGGAATCAAAATGTCCAACAAAAAAATACTTGAGTAAATTATGATACATCAACTATATGGATCACCTACTGGGTGCTGCATGACTTCTCAAACTTTGGAATCAGATTGGATGCTGCCATTCTCATCTCCTGTTCCACAGTGCTTTTCAATTATCACTTGCTTTTTATCATATCATCTACCAAAAACCCAGCTTCACTAATAAGACTTCATCAAAAGGAATGTAGCACAATCTGACATTGCAACTGTGAATTAATTAGAACTAGTAGTCCAACAAATGTAGAGTACTGCTGTTTCTCCCTAAAAAAGTAAAAATATCTCAAAGCACCCCTCTGAGTTCAGTTCCTCAGTTTGGGAACCACGAGGTGTATATAATTTTGAATTCTGATTTCTTTGCTTGACATGTTATATATGCGGTTTTTTTTTTTATCCATTCAGCCACTGTATGTCTTTTTTTAAAATTATTTTTTATTTTTTTTTTAAAGATTGAGCTAACAACTGTTGCCAAACTTCTTTTTTTTTCTGCTTTTTCTCCCCAAACCCCCCGGGTATGCAGTTGTATATATTTTTTTTAGGTGTGGGTCCTTCTAGTTGTGGCATGTGGGATGCCGCCTCAACGTGGCCAGATTAGTGGTGCCATGTCTGCGCCCACGATCTGAACCGGTGAAACCCTGGGCCGCTGAAGCGGAGCGCACAAACATAACCACTCGGCCACGGGGCCAGCCCCCACTATATGTCTTTTGATTGTAGAGTTTCATAAATATAAAATGCTTTTATATTTAAAGTAATTACTGATATGGAAGGACTTACTATTGCCATTTTGTAAATTGTTTTCTGTCTTACAGCTATTTTGTCCCTCTTTTCCTTTCTTGCCTTAGTGTTTCATTGATTTTTTGTAGTGGCATGCTCTGAGTGTCTTCCCGTTTTCTTTTGGGCATCTTCTATAGGCATTTTCTTTGTGTTTACCATGGAGTAAACTTCAATCATATATAAAAACTCTATTCCTTTACCCCCCCCACTTCTTGCAACTCATGTCCCAAGTCAAATTTTTAAAATTTTGTATCTATTAACATAGTTTTATAGTTATTTTTTGTGCTTTTATCTTTTAGATTCTATACCTGAATTAAAAGTGACTTTCACACTTAGAGTATTACAGGATTCTGTATTTGTCTATGTATTTACCTTTATCAGAGAGCTTTATATTTTCATATGCTTTGTGCTACTGTCTACCGTCCTTTCATTTCAACTTGAAAGACATCTTTCAGCAAATTTTGTAAAGCAGGTCTAACAGTGAACTCCCTGAGCTTATGCTCATCTGCGGTCTTTATCTACTTCCCATTTGAAGGACAGTTTCACTGGATACAGTATTCTTGGTTGGCAGTTTCTTTCTTTCAGCACTTTGAACAAATCATCCTGCTCCTTTCTGGCCTGTAATGTCCCTGTTGAGAAATTTGCTGATGATCTTATGGGGCTCCCTTGTACGAGATGAAGTGCTTTTGTCTTGCTGCTTTCACACCTCTCTTTGCCCTTTGAAAGTCTGATTATAATATGCCCTATTGTCAGCCTCTTTGGGTTCATCCCTGTTGGAGTCTTTTGAGCTTCTTGAATTTGGATGTCCATTTCTTCCTCAGCTTGGTGAGTTTTTGGCCACTACATTTTCAAATAAGTTCTCTGTCCCATTCTGTCTCTCTTTTTCTTGGACTCCCACTGTGTATATGTTGTTGTTCTTGACAGTGTCCCATAAATCTCATAGGCTTTCCTCACTTCATACTTTTTTCTTTTTGTTCCTCTGACTTGATTTCAAATGACCAGTCTTTGAGGTCACTGCTTCTTTCTTCTGCTTGATCAAGTATGCTGTTGATCTCCTCTAGTGAATTTTTCAGTGCAGTTATTGTATTCTTCAGCTCTAGAATCTCTGGTTCTTTTTCATAGTTTCTATCTCTTCATTGATCTTCTTCCTTTATGTATTATTTCCCTGATTTCATCATCTGTGTTCTTCTGTAGCACACTGAGCTTCTTTAAGAGAATTATTCTAAATTCTTTGATAGGTAATGCATAGGTCTCTATTTCTTTAGGGTTGGTTCTGGAGATTTACTTTGTTTCTTTGACTGACCATGTTTCCTGTTTCTTCATGTGTCTTGCTATTTTTTTTGTTGTGTTTTGTGCACCTGAAAATGCACTTAAGGTAAATAGCTTCATACAGGGGAAGAACTTCACCAATCAGCCCAGCTAGAAATTCTCCGGGGTGGGGAACAGAGAGAAGGGTGTCTTCTCAAATTTTTTTACAGAGATGTATCTTCTCTGGGCTTCTCCATGAAATTTCCCAATTTCCTTCCCAAGAAAGGTTTGTGGGTTTCTTTCTCAGGAGTTTGTAGTCTCTTGCTCCCTCTGGTGTCTGTGTGCAGTACTGCAGGCTTTCCAGCTCTGCAACAAGCTGTTGACCTCTCTGCCACGCCCAGGCGTCCAAGATATGACAGTTCCCCATCAGTGCTGAGATAGACAAGACAGAAACCAGTCCCTCAGGCAGTTCCCGCAAAAGCCAGAATGTTAGATGTTCTTCTTTTTCCCTCCCAGTGGAGCAGCCGTGAGTTGGGCTTTTTCTTTCCATCACAAGCACTGCTGGTTGTGGAAGGGGCTGATGGAGTTGAAATAAAATGGCTTTTCTTACCCATTACAGTGTGGCTATTTTTGGCTTTGAGCTTGTCTGGGACCGTGAATTCCCAACAGGTTTCTGGAGTTCTCACTAAGGCTTTTGAGACCATATTTTTTGTTACATTGGTATCTCTGGGGGAACCAGATCTGGGGCTTCCTATTCTGGCATCTAGCTGCCACTACTCCCAACATATTATTTTTAAAACTTAAAGGCTATGTAACAATGCAGATAAATGCTTACGAAAATATTAAGTCACAAAAGCAATTACTGATTTTAACCATGTAAAACATATCTATTATAAAGACTAAAAAGACATACAAAAATGGAAATCAGTTGTGTTAGTGTGGTAACAAAGATGAGGCTATTTTTCCCTTAAAAACTGCTTAATATTAATATTTATATTTAATAATTAAAAAGAATATAGTGCCAATTTTTTTCACTATCAAAAGTCTAGGACAAATGCAAATTTTAAAATATTACTTACCTAGTATTTAATTGCTTCTTTATAATTTCTAAATTCACTGGTGGAAATGAAATGGAAGTATCAAATTTCTTCACTGGTTTAGAGTCACTGCTGTGGGAAAGATCTAGGTCTCGTCCCTAAAAATAATATGAAAATCTGTGTTGTTTTAAGCATTCACTTATCTTACAAACATTAACAGCACGAAAGCAGACTGGATACTCTCAAGGTCTTACCAGCTGAAAATTCCATGCCTTTGACATTTTTCATAGTTACAATAAAATGTCTCTAAAATTTCCACAGTTTTAAAATTTACAACTTTAAATTCACAAGCAAGAGGCAAATTACAAAATCTTATTTTTCACAAAAGCTTGGTTTTCAGTGTTTTTCAAGCTAGTTTTATTTATAATCTAATGTACTCTCAGAAAACTAAATACCTGTTTTCCATGATAGAAGTACACACCTAACTCCAATCCAATCAAAGAAAAGTAAATGGAAGTCTGCTGGCAGGTTTCTAGGTAGAGCTCCTGGTTCTGTTTAAGCTACTGTTACCGGGGTTTTCTCCTACTTTCAGAGGAATGCATTCCTAACTAATACATCCTGTAACACAGTATAGTTCACATAACATCCTCTGGCTAATCGCAGCTCATCACACCACGCTTAGAATGTTGAAAAGGTTCTCAAGAACCTGTGTTAGACAAGGACATGTGGAGAAGTGGACCAGACAATTAGCCAACTCATCGGCTTAACTGTCATTTTTATATTTTCCATGAGGCATCATATTTCTCCTATCAATTCTTACCAAGACTCCCATCCAGCTCCAATCATACCTGCAAATCTCCAAACTAAGAAAACTACTTCAGAGCTTAAGTCTTTACTCTTGATATCTTTTGTCTCAAATCCCTTACATCAAAAAACATCTACCAAAGGCCCACTCAAATATGACCATTTCTGCAAAGGCTTTCCCAAACCTCCCCATTTACTTCCCCTCCTATAAAACAGACCACTTACTTGCTGCTTTGTTCTACCTCAGGACCCTGTACAGAGTTTTGTCACAGAACTTGTAAGATTTCACTCCAATTTTGTGTAACCGTCTCTCCCCTGCAAAGATTATACATTCTAGTGCCTATCACTGTTAAATAGCTGTAGAGGCTGAACGGTGGACTCAAAGAGATACGTCCATGTCCTAATCTCTCAAACTTGTAAATGCAATTACACATCCTCATAAAAGACAGGGGGTTTGGGGATGCAGGAAAATGAGGTGATGTGAAGACGGGGCAGAGAGCAATGTAGCTCAAGCTGAGGAATGTCAACAGCCACCAGCAGCTGCAGTAGCCAAGGAATACATTATCCTCTAGAGCTGTTGGAAGAAGTGTAGCCCCACCAACACCTTATTTTCACCTGTGGCCTCTAGAAGTGTGAGAAAATAAATTTCTGTTGTTTGAAGCCACCAAGTTAGTGGTAGTTTGTACAGCAGTCACAGAAAACTAATACAGTAGCATGTGGTACATCTTCAGTAAAGGAATCAGTAAATGCACCCACGTTAGTAATAAAAAATGCAAATCACAAAGGACTGAGATTCCATTTTCGCCAACTAAACTTGCACCTAAAGCTGGCAAGACTGTGGTGAAACATTACCATAATTTTGGTGGAAATACAGATTGATCTAAATTTTCTTTAGAAAGCAACAGAGAAAAATGTAGTAACTGCCGTAAAACGTTTATCTCCTTTATTAGTAATACCACTCTTGGCCATTATTCTAAGAGAATAGTTAAAAAACACACATCTGAACTAAAGAAAGCAAAGGAGGGAAGAAAAAAAAAGATATGCAAATATTTACCAATTCTTACTAGTAGAAAAAATTCAGATTGCAAATAACCTCAATGTCACCAAAAGGAAGAACGGCTAAGAGAATTATGATTCATTGACTCCAATAAATATTACAGTCTTTAAAATTAGTTACCATTATAACTATGTAGAAATGGGAAAATATCTACAACATGCCAAGCAAAGAAATCAGAACTCAAAATTATATGGATATTGTGGTTCCCAAACTGTGTGCCAAGGCATCCCAATGAACTCAGAGGGCTGCTGTGAGATATTTTTAATTTTTTAGGGAAACACAGTAATACTCTACACATTTGTTGGCCTACTAGTTCTAATTAGTTCATAGTTGCAACGTTAGATTATGCTACATTCCTTTTGATGAAGTCTTATTAGTGAAGCCGGGTTTTTGCAGATGATATGATAAAAAGCAAGTAATGACTGAAAAGCACTGTGGAACAGGAGATGAGGATGGCAGCATCCAATCTGATTCCCAAGTCATCCAGCACCCAAGAGGTGCACATCACATTAGCAGATAACTGTGGTTATTTAAAAATGAAATGAAAAGATTTTTTTCTTCAATTTATTGTTTTTTTTTCCATAAATGGCTACCAAATTATTAGGACATAAATCTTACTAAATTCTTTGGACCTAACTACTTAACAAATGGAATTGTTTGGTACTTCCTTTGGCCAAGGGGCACCATGATAAAATTACTGAGATGCTAAAGACTCCATGAAGAAGAAAGTTTGGGAACTTCTGATGTACACTATGACTGAAATTACACAAAGACTTCAAATAAAAAGGAATTATGCAAACTTGAGCAATTAGACTAAGGACTGTGGCATGGTTTTTTCTCGAAGTATCTTTTTTTTTAATGCTATTGCTACAGTGATTTTACTAAAAAAGGAGGAAAAAAAATCTAAGCCTGTTACAGTCAAAAATAGTCCCCCAAATCATTTCTCTGCTCAGAAATTTCTAAATTACAAACCCTTACTTCTACTTAGCTTTTTAGTTTTAAAACATGAAGATCTTACAATATTTTCTTACTTAAAAGTGTAAATAATCTTTCAGAACATTCTTATTATAAAGATTAAAAAAGAATGCCTTATATTTGTATACTATAATTTACAAGCACTTTGATTTAGATCATTACAATCTTTTTTTCTGGTGAGGAAGACTGTTCCTGAGCTAACATCTGTGCCAATCTTCCTCTATTTTCTATGTGGGACACCACCACAGCCTGGCTTGATGAGTGGTGTGTAGGTCTGCGCCTGGGATCTGAACCCATAAACTGAGCTGCCAAACTGGAGCGCACAAACTTAACCACTATGCCACCAGGCCGGCCCCAGATTATTACAATTTTGAGCCTTACAGCCACCTACTCAGCTAGGTAACATTATCATTCTCATTTTATTGATGAGAAAACTGAGATTTAGAGCAACTAAATGGTTTTCTCGAAGCTGTGCAAATATTTATGGAACACTCATGACATTAGGCACTGTGGGATACAACACTGAACAAAATAGTTAATAATTCTTAACCTCACTGAGCATATATTTTCACGGTGAAGCCAGAACCCAAATCTAGGACTCTGACCCCAAGTACAATATTTTTTTTTGTTTTTTAGTTTTTTTTAAAACCTATTTATTTGTTTAAACTTCACATTTAGGCACCTACCATATAATATATACTGTTACTGTAGTATTAAAGATTAAAAAAGATAATGGTCTCCTCAAGTGGCTTATAATATGTAGAAGGTGTTTATAATCTAATGGGAAAAGAATATAATATACATGGCATAGTGAGTTGAATGGTGGTCTCCCAAAAGATGTCTCTATGTCCTAACCCATGGAACCTGTGAATATGACCTTACTTGGTAAGAGGGTCTTTGTAGTTGTAATTAAGCAAAGTGTCTCAAGATGAGATCATCCTGGATTACCCAAGTGGGCTCTACATCCAGTGACAAATGTCCTTATGAGAGACACATAGAGGAGAGGCAAGGAGAACAAGGCCGTGTGAAGGAGGGAGACAGGAGTTCTGCAGTCACAAAGCAAGGAACACCTGGAGTGACCAGAACTTGGAAAAGGCAGGAAAGGATCTAGGGACTTCAAAGGGAGCACAGCCCTGCCAACACCTTGATTTCAGACTTCTAGCCTCCAAAACTGTTGGAGAAAAAATGTCTGTTGTTTTAAGGCATCAAGTTTCTGGCAATTTGTTATAGCAGCCACAGGAAACTAATATACATGGTATAAAGAATGATTACCTCTGTGATTTTAACTGCTTTCCTCATTTGCTGCTGTTCCCAAATATCTTGACTTTCATCTTCCTGACCTTCTTCACTTGTTTCTTCATCTCTGGTTGCTAATAAAAAAAGTCCATGTATAAATATTCAGTATTTTTTCATTCTAATAGCAGGAACTAACATTTTTAGGGGGTTTATAATGTGCTGGCTTGGCAGCCCTTTACATGTGTCAACTTATTCTTCACAATAATTCTGGGAAGCAGGTACTATTATCACTCTCACCCTATAAACGAGGAAACTCAGCTATGAGGAGGGTAAAGAACTGGTCTGAGGAATGTGTTGAAGCTGGGCCTTGAATCTAGCAATCTGACTCCAGAACCTGCACTCATCACCAAGCTGTCACATTCAAAGCACCACAGCCTCACACAGGGAAAAAACTTGGAAAACATGAACCACGTGGTTTTCCTTATCAGAGATTCTCAATTCTACCCGAAATCTAAATATTTAAAAATAATTTCTGGGTTATAAGGAACCAAGGTCTCATTCTGCGAAAACAATAGTTGAAGTGAGAAAAACTTTGGTAAAACATATTTTTGTTTATAAACCAGAAATGTGAAAACAGTCCTTTGAGATTTAAGGATTATTGGTGGAGGAAATTTTTTTATTAGAGCAGGTAAGGTTTTAATACGTGACATGTACAAGTCCTATAGATTCTTCCACGTTAAAAAACAAAAACTTTATAAAGGTGACAACGAAAGCTTTCACTATCAAAAACAAGACGCTGTACCACTTTTTTTTAACCTGTCAAAAAAGATGAAGTGGTGGCCCAGTAACAGTAAACACTACACATACCCTTCGATAACATTTTGATACAGATATGTCTTTTAGAGGCCATATCATTGACCAAATTGGTATTAAATAAAAACCAACTTCAACATGCTTTAGAATATGAGACACTATAATATGTTTTTATGGAGATTTTAACATAGTATCACATTCTAACGAAAAATGCCTTAATACATTGTAAATGAATGAGATACGTACTTGTTTCTTCAGCCATTCTTTGTCTAAGCGTTTGAGGCTTTGGGGTAAAGGGTATTCTGTTTTCACAGTCATCAGGCTCACTCTCGGGATCTTCGTCACTGTTCTTCTTCACACGAGAGGTGGTTGAGGTATGTTTTACATCCAAAGAAATATAGTCATCTTGGGCCCTGGCCAATTCACGCTTCCTTCGGGCTGCCTGAATAAAAGCTGCATCAGGGATATCTACTGAAAGAAACAAAGAGGAGGACACTGAAGACCAAACATGCAGAGAAAGAAATACTCCATTTGAATAAAGGAAAAAGGCAACGTTTTTCTAATTTTTTCACTATTTTGATATGAATGTAACTAAATGGCTGAAAATCTATATCAATAATGGAAGAAAATTCTTTTGATATTAAATACAAACTAGAAAAATGAACCAAATCTAGGAGTATTAGAAAATACACGGAAACCACTCCAATTTATCCTTTAATTCTCTTATCAGGTGTTGTGGCTGACTTTTTGCTCAGGGCTAGCTAATCCTCATTTCCAGAAGCTCTGAGACTGTCAGGGGAGGGATGTGGAGAGGGCTGAGCATGGAGTCGCTCAGTCAGTGAGAACCATACAGGTTAGAAGGATGGGTGATAGACCAGTCTAACTGACAAAGTAAGAGGGACATTACACCGTGACCCGCCCCTCCCCTTTGGGCATCCAGGAATATAGGAGGTGAGACACAGACTAACACCACCAGCACACAGCGAAGGCAGCCTCCAGGGTCCTGTGGTGATTTCCATGTGAATAAATATGAGAAGTTAAAAAGTGCAAAGGAAATAATCAGGTTCATTTACCAGGTGAAAAACACTTAAATGACATCTTTTCATAGAACCTTGTTTTACTTTTTATTTTACACAGTACAAACCTCATTAATATGGACTCTTTCAATTCAAAAACAAGTTATTCATGCATGATCTAAGCTGAAATTTATCTTTACACTCTGGAAACAAATGATTTCTTACGCAAAATACAAAGGTAAACAAAACGGCAAGGGAAATTCTCACCATTTTCAAGCACTTCGAAATATCAATTGGCCACTGAGACTCAAGTAAAATTTTCTAAACTCTCCCACAAACTGATCCAAATTCTTTGAGAAATGAATAGAAAAGATATCATATGCCTGGACATGAGGAAATGTTCCAACTTTTGAAACAGAAAAAAAGGTTTCAGAAAGTACAGACCAATATTCTTGACACCAGTCCTAAGGAAAACCGGAAGTGCTTGTATTCATTATGAAGCAGTAAATGGTGATTACCAGAAACCAAGATATACTCATTAAGAGTAAGGAACATCAAAGCAAGTGATTTGCTTTTTACAGACTAGTATTTATTTATAGATCAGTATCAGGAAAATGATGCAATCAAGTGTCTCTTCACTCTCCCAAAGCATTTAACAGTTGCACGTTTTGGTTGTGGACAATGTTAAAATATGTGGGGAAAATCACATAGTGCACTGGATTCTTAACTGGTTGAGTAACTACTCCAAAAAAAAATGTCGATTATGCAGCAACGCAGGGATCTGCCAGAGGGCTCTGTGTTTTGTCTTGTCTGGTTTAATGCTTTCACTGTGATGTGAACAAGGACAAGAAGACGGGTCCTTAAAGCTAGGAGGTATAGCTAAAATAACCTAAGCAGAATTCAGATTCGAAACCATCACAACAGGTTTACATTAGCATTTCTCGACCCTGGATACACATTAGCATCACCTGGGAAGCTTGATCATGCACTGGTACTCAGGCTCCCATCTCAGAGATTCAGATTCAGTTGATATGAGGTGGAGCTGAGCAACAGTATGTTTTTATAGCTCTCCAGGGGATTTTAATGTACAACTAGGGATAAGATGATACACTGGGGTTCAAATACTTAGGCGTATGAATACAGAAACAAAAATACTTGAATTGGAAGTGATTCACCTGCAAATGACTTTTTTTGTTAATGCCATCGAGCCGAGTCGATTCCAACTCCTAGCGAACCTGGGTACAGCAGAGCAGAACCCTGCCTGGTCTTTGCACCACCCTCTCACCTTCTGGTGCTGTATCAGACAATGCTATTCATAGGGTTTTCAGGCCAATTTTTTCAGAAGTGGGTGGTCAGGTACTTCTTCCTAGTCTGTCTTAGTCTGGAAGCTCCAGTGAAATCTGTCCATGGGTGACCCTGCTGGTATTAAATACTGTTGGCATAGCTTTCAGCATCACAGCAACACACAGCTGCCACAGTAAGACAACCCGCAGAACGAGAGGTGTGGTTCCCTGACTGGGGAACGAACCCAGGCCGTGGAAGTGAGAGCACTGAATCTTAACCACTAGACCACCAGGGCTGGCATGCAAATGTCTTGGGGATGTTACAGTCAATGGACTCACTAGTGAGATACCAGTGTTATATAAAACTAATCCTCTCTCAAGTTACAATGAAGAAGTAAAGGTTCAAGGAAGAGAAGAGTACCCTATCCTGTCTGTCTATATCTAACATCTAGCTCAAGGGTTCCCAGATAACAGATGCTGGGCTGACATGGGATTAATTAACAAAGTTAGCATACTGCTTTATAATAATAAAAACATCATGTCTTTACAGATTTATAGCTCATAAATAATTTTCACATACATCACGCTATCTAAGGAGTAGAGAGGTAAATGGTAACATGCTGTACCTGCAACAGTGAACATCTCAAGGAAGCTATTACTTTACTGGATCATTCTAATAGTTCTACCATCTGAACAAAAAATAAATGCACTCCTTCCTCCACATACCAGTCCTTAAACTTAGCACATTCCTTCTTCATCTCTTCTGCTCCAGAAAAAAGAAAAAAAAAAAAAAAAAGGATTCCTCACAGGACAAGTTTTCAACTTTCAATCAGTGTTTCTCAAAGGAGCTCTGAGGAGGGGGACTCCTTCATGTGCTGAGCTGTCCTGCACTCTGCGAGACATTTATCATCTCTTGCCTCCGAGGCACTACATGCCAGCAACACCTCAGGCACTATGGTAAAAACTATCCCACACATTTCCAAAAACTGCCTTCTTTCCTTAGGTCTGTGGAGCTGCCAACTCTCTACAGCTACCGCCTTCTACCATCTAATCCACCATCTCCTATAGCAGCACTGTTCAACACAGTAACCACCAGCCACATGTGACCATGTCAACTTAACCAAACTAAAAATCCAGTTCCTTAGCTGCACCAGCCACATTTCAAGAGCTGTACAGCTACATGTGGCTACTGGTTAGAGTACTGGACAGTGAAGATATAAAACTTTTACATCCTTACAGAAAGATCTATTGGATAGTGCTGTATCCAGAGTCTAGACGAGGCTTCACTTGTCTACTAGGCTTCAATTCCTTTTTTTTTTCTTTCTGTTTTTTCTTCCCAAATCCTCCCAGTACATAGTTGTATATTTTAGCTGTGGGTCCTTCTAGCTGTGACACGTGGGATGCCGCCTTAGCACGGCCTGATGAGCGGTGTCACATCTGTGCTCAGGATCTGAACCAGCAAAACCCTGGGCCGCCGCAGCGGAGCACATGGCGCATGAACTTAACCACTTGGCCATGGGGCCAGCCCCTACTAGGCTCCAATTCTTAATACTGGCTCTATCACCAAGTACTTCTGTACCTGTAAACTTAGTGTATAAGAAAAAATTATAAGAGCTACTGGTTCTTGTTATTTAATAAGTTAATAGGGATGGCCCCGTGGCCGAGTGGTTAAGTTCGCACGCTCCGCTGCAGGCGGCCCAGTGTTTCGTTGGTTCGAATCCTGGGCGTGGACATGGCACTGCTCATCAAACCACGCTGAGGCAGCGTCCCACATGCCACAACTAGAAGGACCCACAACGAAGAACAGACAACTATACCGGGGGACTTTGGGGAGAAAAAGGAAAAAATAAAATCTTTAAAAAAAAAAAGTTAATAAAGCACTTATTACTATATTACAGGTATTTTAAAATATATTTTAACAATTATATTTCAAGTTAAATTGTTTCCTTTATGAAGCTATGTATTTTACTTTATTTTCTCAGGAGTCTGAGGCTTCACAAGACTGAAAAGAGTGCGCAGCACAAAACAAGTTACGAAGCTTGAGCTACTGTAAAAGGCCAGATAAATATTTTAAGCTTTGCAGGCCATAAAGCCTCTGTCACAACTTCTCAACTCTGCCACTGCAGTGCAAAAGCAGCCACAGACTATACATAATTGAATGAACGCGGCTCTGTTTTAATAAAACTTTATTTACAAAAGCAGGTGGTGAATCAGATTTGGCTCAGAGGTGGTAATTTGCCGACTTCTGAACTGGACTGATCTAAGACATAAAGATAGTCATGTCATCTATTTGCGTAAAATTTTCAGTAGTTCCCTCAAGCCCTGAATTATCTGACTTGGTCTCCTTTTCTTTCTTTTTGTTCCTCTTTCTTAAACTCCAACCAAATGTTTCAGTCCAACAACTATTTTGAGTTCTGTGCACATGCCAGTTATCTTCCCTAGAGTTTTATATATGCTGCATCCTGTACCTGAAACATACTGACAAATTCTTACCATCCTTCAGACTGGCATGAATCATCCCGTATAGCACAGTGGTAAAGAACACAGGCTCTGAAGCAGACTGCTTGGGTCTGAATCCTAGCTCTGCCTCTCACATGCTGTCTGACCTTGGGCATGTTATGTAATGGAAATGAGCATTCAATTTTGGTACTTTAACAATCATTAGTAATGACTTACTGGCCCCGTACTTCACTAGAGTTTGTTATCAATAATAAAAATCATTGGCATAGAAAATATTGATATCAGAAATAAAGTTCTAAACCAAAATTACAGAATTTACCAACCTACTGACGAAAATTCTTCTTCCACAGAGCTAGAGCTGTCAGAAGAGGAACTCGCATCATCCTTACTTTCTGAGGAATGATGAGCTCCATCTTCTTCATCTGTTGAAAGATCAACCCTTCTGGATTCTAGGAAAACATTTTTTAAATATAAGGAGAGAGAGTCAAGATATTGGAATCAATAATAGAAATTCTGAACAACACATGGTATATGCATAATATGGTGTCTTAATTGTGCTCCACGGCTTAAAGTAGATATACAGCTCTTTCTGCAACTTCCATTCTTTCTGAAACCAGTGGATGGTCTAATAAATGTATTTACCCTATTTGAACTATCTACTAAAATATTCTCTTAAAGGATGCAATGAGAAGAGGGAGGGGAACAGCAGAGGAAAAAATGACATAAAGTTACGGCATATTTAAAACAAAAAATAGTAGTAGTGAATAAGTAGAAAAAATATTTAATACATACTCAACTATGTGCTGGGTACACTGAAATCTGTTTTACAAGGTTTATTTCACTTAATATTCACAATTCTACAAGGTAAAGGCTATTATTGACAAGGACACTTATGATCGGAGAGGCTAAATAACATGACCAGCATCACAAAGTCAGTCAGTGGAGAAGCAGGGCTTTCAACCTAATTTCATCCAACTCTGGAGTTGAGACTCTCTATAGTATGTCACATTTCAATGGCTGGTGGCAAGAAGTACTATAATGAGCACTGTGGTCTCAGATAAAATCATGGATCTATTTCCACTGAGTGATTTGGGGAAGGACACTTAGTCTGTCAATCAACCTATTAAACCAAGGTAACAATAACAGATAACACCAATAGGCGTGTTGTGAGAACTGACTGAGCCAAATGTAAAGGAACTCATGGTATTATTGACAAGAAAGGACTTCTTAGTTTACATTTTGTAATTTTTATGAATAACCTTAAAACTTAAGATAACATAAATAGTACTCTTTATCTTAAAAACTTCTCTTAATTAGAAGACCTACCTACAGTTTAAAAAAATCTGGAGTAAGATCAAAATGTAAGCTACAGCTTACATCTTTCTTAGCTTCTTCGATTTATGACAACTCCTCCCTCTTCCCACAGTGGATTAACACCAGAGCAGTGATTCTCAGAGCATGGGCCATCAACCTCTGGAGATCCCCGAGACCCTCTCACAGGGTCGGTGAAGCCAAAACTACTTTCATCACAATAGTAACATGTTACTTCCCTTTTCACTCTGTTGATATTTACACAATGAAGCAAAAGCAGTGGCAGGTAAAACTGCTGGCCTCTTAGGACGAATCAACAGAGACACTAACCTGTAGTAGGAGCTACTGTATTCTTTGCCATCATGCATTGACAGGGGAAAAAAGCCAGTTTCACTATGGTTCTCATTTAACGAAGCAGTAAAAAATTACTAATTTTATTAAGTCTTGACCCTTAAGTACACATCTTTTTAATATTCTGTGCAACAAAATGGAAGCATGCATAAAGAACTTCTGGGTCATACTGAGCTACAATGGTCGCAAGGAAGAGCACTTGTGTGCTGAGCTGGGAGTAGAATTAGCCACTGTCTTCAACAAGGAACACCATTTTACTTGAAAGAACGACTGACAAACTATAGTTATTCAGACAGGTATCTGACCAATATTTTCTGAAAAATGAGCAAAACTGTGGCTGTCACTTCAAGAATTAAAGATTTCAAGCGAAAACTGGAATTTTGGAAAACTTAAATCCTCCACTCTGAACTTGATAGCTTTCCAATACTTCAAGACTGATCGTATCAGTAGTAACACTAACAGATTGTTTTTTGATATTGTATAATAAAATGTACCAACATTTGCAAGATCTACAAACTCAGTGAACCAATACTTTCCAAATAGTCAATGCATGATGTTACCAACCATGCATGGGTAAAAGATCCAATCAAGTGCAAAACAGACCAAAGGATTTTAATGTAATGGAGTACAAAAAATTGAATGACATAGTTTCAGCTTCTGCTGCAAATTAACCTTTAAGAAACTATTACTTGTTGAGCTTTGTTTTAATATTAAATCAGAACATCCTCCATCTAAAAAGGCTATCAAGTACTCCTCTCTATCACATATCTGTGGTTTTCTTCACATACTTCAAACAAAACATATCACAACAGATTTAATGGAGAAGTAGCTTCAAGAATTCAGCTGTCTTCCATTAAGCCCGACATTAAAGAGATTTGCAAATTGAAAACAATGCCACTCAATATTTTTGGAAAAGAGTTATTTCTCACAAAAATGTTACTTATCCTTACAGGTAATGGGTTAATTAAAAAAAAAGAATAAAAATTTATCTAAATTTCTAATACGGTAAATACTAATAGACACAATCCACAGAAACTAATGCTCTTTGGGATCCTTAATTGTAAGAGTATAAAGCAGGTTCCTAAGACCAAAGTTTGAGAACCACTCTTTTAAAAGGCAAAGAGAAAAGGCAACTCCTGGCCTCAATTCTCCCTGTTAAAATTTAACCAGATGACTTACACGGAGCAGACAAATATAAAAGTCATCAAAACGTTAGACACATAGGTCATAACAACGACGAAGAAATCACCAAAATCACTTGTACTAAAAATAGTGGGGAGAAAATTTTTTACTTCAAGACCAACCAAAAACTGTATTCTTACTAAGCTCCAACTCAAACTAGAACACATTTTATGCAAACATCTTTATGCTGCTTGAACCTTCTATTTAGGAAATCTGCAAACGTACTTCAAAATTACTACATTGTATTTAACGCCACTATTGGTACAGTCTATAGAGTCATCCATTTATTATGTTACTTAGCGACAGTTATTTTTATTTCAATTTTTGCAAATAACTGATGAAAAAGAAAATGTCCCAAAGCCTGTCACCTAGGTTCTTCTAACGTACTATTCTGGTTAAGTGTTTTCTAGAAAAATAATTGGGGGCTTTAACAAAAGGTACATATAACTTTCGCCGACCTAAGCGTATTAGGCATTTTTTAATTTTTTTGTGACAATTTAGGTTCTCCATAAACATCAAGTACTCCGCTAAAGCTATAATTGGTGAGGGTTCATCTGATGGTGCAAACAGTCAACCATACAAGATTCTTTCTACTCCCCAAGGAGCCCAATATGGAGATGCGGGCAGCGGGCGAGTGCGGGCAGCAGGCGAGTGCTCGCAGGCAAGCGGGCAGGCGGGCTATCTTGCTATCTTTGCGATTCAGCATCGCTCCAGGTCAGCAGCAGGTTATCGAAGCCTCTGGAGAACCCTGCGCGCCTCCTCCTCCCGCCCCCCGCGTCACCTCTGGCACCCACCCGGCTGCCCCGCGTCACCTGGGCCGCCCGAACCGCCGTCCGCGCGAGGAGCCGCTCCTGCTGGTCGCCGGGAACTCGCCCAGACCCGGCCCCGGCCCCGGCCCGGCCCCGAGAGCTCCGGAGCCGAAGGGGCCGCTCCGCCACCTCCGCGCGGCCTCCTCCAGAGGGCGGCCCTTCCTCTGCAGGGCCCGGGACCGTCTGCTGCCCGGGCGCCTCGGCTTCAGCAGACGGCTCCTCGGCGCCGTCGCTGTCACTAGAGTCGGCTCGGCGCTGCCGGAAAGTCCTTTTCGGCCTGTGAGCCATGGCCGAGGCCAGAGCTCCACGGGCGCATTCGCTTCCTGCGCACGCCGAGCCGGGACCTCGGCGTCCACTCCAGCGCGCGCTCCCGCCTCTTGCCTTGCCGCCGCGTGCGCGCGCCCGTTCGCGCGCCGTCGACTCTTGCTTCCCTCTGCGCATGCGTGGTTTGTCTCCTTGGCTCCGGTTGGCCGAGTCCAGTTCCCAGGGATGTGGGTCTGTGGTTGGAAAGCGTTGGTTTTGGGAGGCCAAGGTGTGCAGACAGTCGCCGGAGAGTCCCGGAGACTTCTGGAGCCGCGTGCCACGGAGAGCAGCACTCGTAGGCTCTCGTTGTGCAGACCTATCTAGGAATCAGGCGCTGTGCCCACGTCCTGGGCTGGAACTGGGTGCGTTGTCTTCGACTCTCTGGAGAGAGTAAAGTTCTATCTCCGACCAAGAATTAAACAAAACAAGGGGGGGAGGGGGGTGGAGATTGCCTCTGAAAGCTAAACAGTAAAATCTACGCGTAAATGATAGGCACACAAATAAGCAAAAGAAGAAAAAGAGATTGCTCCCAGGTGGCAGTTTATTGAAGATAATCTACGTGTGATGTTGGTGTTCCAGAAGACTGTCCTTTCCTTTCAAAAGTCACCAACTCGCAACCAAAATGTGAAGACACTAGCAATGTTTTCAGCTGGGTTCAGAACCATCAGCTGATGTGAGCTAGTTGCTTACTTCCTCATTCTAAACTACATTGCCTCTCCAGCCAGGGCCTCTCTCTTACTCATCTTAATATCTCAGTACCTAGTATAGTGTCTAATGCGTACTATACACTGAATTAATGTGAATTCAATGAACTAAACGTGTAGATGAGGTGATTCTAAAACACCTGTGTTCGATCACAAAAACAAAACCTGAAAACATATCGTTCCATTTAACTTGTTGGATGCAACCACATTATCAGACCGGTGATATAATAATGAGAGTTAGAAAAACTGTGCTACTTAAAATGTAAACCAAATATTTGTTCTTAGGGAGAGAAGGAGACAAGTGATTTTCTCTGCATATTGCCTAGATGGGAGGGGACAAAGTAGAGAGGATTTGTTTAATAAAGGAGGAGGAATCCTGAGTTTCCTCCTCTGACCCCATGGAAAGCAAAGTAAAGGCTCTAGGGTAGAGAAGGAATACAGGATGCCTAGTAAAATTTGAATTTTAGATAAACAAGGAATGGTTTTGTAGTATAAGTATGTCCCATACAATATTTAGGACATACTTGCATAGGACATATTGGAACCCTAGTCTAGGGTAAAGAGGGATGTGAATAATTTCAAAGGGTAGAGTAAGGTTTTGCAACCTGGAGGTGGTAGTGGTTCTGGAAATGGTGGCCAATGAGAAGTTTCCAGTCACAGAGGGTAAGGAGACAAGGGACTTTTAAGATGTGGTGCTGGGTCCCCCCAAGCCTTTAGTAAAACTTTACTGCACACAGTCTTGCCTTAACATTGCTGTTGGAAATGAAGGACATGGCAGCTGAGGTCAGGGTGGTGGCAGCACCTTTGTGATGAGGAAGGGCTGGTGGCTTTTCAGTTTCTGAGCTGAGAGTGTCAAAGGAGACATAGTGGATGACGGGAGAAGCAGGCTGCTGAGCACCCTGGTTTAGGAGGGGCTGTGAGGTAACCCCTTTCCCAAAGGTACCCAAGAAGGTGCAACTTTAAAGGGAAAGGTCCCACAGGGTTACACCTGGAGACAGAAGAGCAAGAATTATATTTTCCTAAACAGTCTTTCCAGGTGCCCATAATCATCACTGCCCTACATTATTTGTTCTTTCTCATGAATACTAGTATTGTTTCCCCCAGGAGGGCAAAGATAATGAGGATCTCTTATTTGCCTCACACCATACTTACAATACTAGCTTATTAAATTAATTGATTATTAGGAGACTTGGTGTTATCTTTTATATAATTTAAAATTGCAGAAGTTGATAATTAAAATTAGCATATGAAAAATGTCCGACTTCTGGAAATCAATGTCATCTTTACTCAAACAGATTCTTTTTTTCCCCTGAAGTGAAGTATTTTCTTCAGCCGGCTGTTTCCATTGATTGGTGGGTTCTGTGCTCCCTCTAGTGAGAAATGTGCTATTTACAGGATGATTGTGCCAAATAGTCTTTGGAAATTGCCTCCTTTCTTATTATAGAGCTATGTTTTTCGTTCTCTCTTGTTATAAGTAATGGATATATTTTTATTTTTAAGTCAACTTATGTTATACTTTCTCAGAGGACAAAGTTTTGGGAAGTCATGTTTATAAGCAAAGCATCACTCCTTTAGGAATTAAAAAATATATATTGTGGATGTTTGAGCAGGGGAAAAAAATCCCTTCTTACCTTTCTTAGGGCTGGACTAATAATAAAATTGACACAAGACCAGATTAACAGATAAAACCCAGTTTAATACGTACAGAGATCATAGAGAAATGATGCTCGGAGGGTAAACAAAGTAGGCAGTATATATATATATATGTATATGTATATATCTTTTACACAAAGTAACAGTAAATTTGTGAGGAATGACAGGACAAAGAGCTTATGTTTGAGGTATGTAATTAGCGAGGAATTTAAGCAGCGTTTACACTTGAGGTGGTAAATTAGCAAGGTTGTCTACGCAGGCTTCTGGGGCCCAGAGTGCCCTAGCTCTGGTGATAATTATCCAGGAGAACAGCTTTCATGTGGGAAATTTATTTCCTGCTTTCATGGGGAACAGGGTCAGAATGCCCTTTTTGCTTCTCAAGTAACTTTAATTCAAAAGAATCAATATGCTGTTGTGGGTTATTTTGGGGTGAACTGCCCTGGGCCCCAACATAGAAATGCATCCATAAAAGTATGGACCTAATTATGCTTTCAATTTTTTTAGTATGTATTTTTTGAGCACTTACTATGAAAGGAGTTTTGTCCTGGAACCAGAGGGTCACAACACAGATGGGGTCCTGATCCCAATGGTCAGATGCTAGTAGCCAAATTAGTCCTACAGATTGGCTTGTTAGAAATTCCACTTTTATTTTTTTCTGGATTGTGGTAAGAACACTTAACATGAGATCTGCCCTGATAATAAATTTTTAAATGTACAGTGCAGTATTGCTAATTATACATTGTACAGGAAATTTCTAGAACTTTTTCATTTTGTTTAACTGAAACTTTATACCTGTTGAACATCAACTCCCCATTCCTTCTCCTGCCGGCCCCTGGCAACCACCTTTCTGCTTTCTGCTTCTATGAGTTTGGCTATTTTAGATACCTCATATAAGTGGAATCATGCAGTAACTGTGCTTCTGTAACTCAACATATTGTCCTCAAAATTCATCCATGTTGTCACATATGGCAGGATTTCCTTCTCTTTTTAATACTGAATAGCCTTTCATTGTATGTATATATCGCATTTTCTTTATCCACTCATTGAACGATGGACATTTAGGTAGTTTCCACATATTGGCTATTGTGAGTAGTGCTGCAATGAACATGGGAGTGCAAATATTTCTTTGGGATCCTGATTTCAATTCTTTTGGCTAAATACCCAGAAATAGGATTGCTGGATCATATAGTAGTTTTATTTTTATTTTTTTGAGGAACTTCCATATTGTTTTCCACAGCAACTGCACCATTTTACATTCCCATCAACAGTGTGCAAGGGTTCCAACTTCTCCACATCCTTGCCAACACTTGTTTTTTATTGTTTTTAAAAATTGTTTTTTTCATACTGGCCATCCTAACAGGTATGAATTGATCTCTCATTGTAGTTTTGATCTGCATTTGCCTGACGATTGGTAATGTTGAGCATTTTTCATACACCTGTTAGCTTCTTTGGAGAAAGTCTATTCCGATCTTTAGCCCATTTTAAAATTGGGATATTTGGGGTGTTTTTGTTGTTGTTCTTGTTGTGCTATTGAGTTGTAGTTGTACCTTCTATACTTTGAATATTAGCCCCTTATCAGATATATAGTTTGTGAAGATTTTTCTCCCTATCCATAGGTTGATTTTTCACTTTGTCGAGTGGTCCCTTTGCTTTGCAGAGGCTTTTAGTTCGATGTAGTCCCACTTGTCTATTTTTGATTTTGTTGCCTGTTCTTTTGGTGTTATATCCAAGACATCATTGCCAAGATTTTCATGAAGGTTTTCATTGCCAATTATTGTCATGAAGATTTTCCCCAACATTGTCTTTTAGGAGTTTAACAGTTTAAGGCCTTACATTTAAATGTTTAATACATTTTGAGTTGATTTTTGGGTATATGTAGGATAAAGTTCCAATTTCATTCTTTTGCATGTAAATATCCAGTTTTCCTACCACCATCTGTTGAAGAGGCTGTCCTTTTCCCATTGCGTATTCTTGGCATCTTTGTTGAAGATCAGTTGATCGTGTATGTGTGGGTTTATTTCTGGTCTCTGTATTCTCTATCTTGGTTCTATATGTCTATCTTTATGGTAGTGCTATCCTGTTTTTAATTACTGTAGCTTTGTAATATGTTTTAAAATCAGGAAATGTGATGCCTCCAGCTTTGTTCTTTCCTAAGATTGTTTTGGCTATTCAGGGTGCTTTGCGGTTCCATATGAATTTTAGGATTGTATTTCCTATTCCTGTAAAAAGTGCCATTGCGACTTTAATACAGATTGCATTGAATCCACAGACCATTTTAAGTAGTATGAACATCCTAACAACATTAAGTCTTCCAATTGATGAAAACAGAATGTCTTTCCATTTATTTGTCTTCTTTAATTTCATCAATGTTTTGTGGTTTTCAGTGTATGTTTTTCACTTCCTTGGTTAAGTTTCTTCCTCAATACTTTTTTCTTTTTGATGCTATTGTAAATAGGATTATTCTCTTAATTTCTTTTTTGGATTGTTCATTGTTAGTGTATAGAAATGCAATTGATTTTTGTGTATTGATTTTGTATTCTGCAATTTTGTTGAATTCTTTATTGGTTCTAACAGTTTGTGTGTGTGTGTGTGTGTGTGTATGTGTGTGTGTAGTCTCTAGGATTTCCTACATATACATCCCTAGGATGTATATGATTATATCATATGCAGATAATGACAATTTACTTCTTTGTTTCCAATTTAGATGTCTTTTATTTCTTTATCTTG